TATTAAAGTTTCCTGCTGCTAAAACTGAAAGCGGATTTGTAGACAAACGAAAACGCCAACAAGATGAATCTAGTCTCGTTACTTCCCAGGGAAATGTCAAACCAAGTAACATGTGGGCGCTTGGTGATGTTATCGGGCGCCTTGAAATACATTTGTGCTACCGCATCTAATTTAACCAAGTTAACTATTAAACGTACCATTATTTTTACCATTTTAGGAGCTCATAAATGTGCCACTTTTAGGTTTTAACGTTTTGATGAAATTCATGTAGCCCATGACTAGCCGTAGTGAAAATTTTACAATAACATAATTTTGACCCAGTTATGGTATAAGGCCATCCTTTCTTTTCCTTGGAGCCGGGAAACAAAAAGACAAAACCAATATGGCGGAAAATGTAATGGTCGCCGATTTCATACTTAGTAAAAGTAAAACTTTTTTGCTAAAAAGTACTCAGGCACTGCCGAACCCTCTATGCCACGAAATGCTATTACAATGCTCGTTTTTCAGATTAAAAGAATTTTTTTAAAGGGGTATTTTTTTGAAATGCCAAAAATTTGGGGCTGGTCAAACGACGCTAAACGAAGAAAAAAAGAGGATGGCCGAATGGAAAATTAAAAAGGGGACCTTGACTGTTTGAATCACAACATTCTTGTTGAAGGCAGACCCCTGTTAAGTTTCAAAAAATGCCCTTTCAGTCCAGTGACTGATGCCGAAATTTTGGTTTTTGTTTTGGTACCAGCAATGTAGCATGTATTTTCTATGTAAGCTGGCAGTGTGGAGTAGATTTTTTTGTAATTGAGCTGGCTGGTAGTTTTGCCGATTTTATTCTAACATAAAGCAGTTTTTTAGTTTTAAACTTATATTGTGTTCAACTGTTTGTTGGGGACTGGCTCTCGGCTGACAACTGACAGACTGACACAAATCAAATCAAATCACTTCAAACCAGCAACTAACTCGGCCTGTATTTAAGAACAGCTTATATACCCTTTGAGCAGAGGTTTCCCTCTGCATGCGGCATGGATTTGAGCGTTGAAGAAGTCGTTCGCGCGGCTTGTCTCTATCGAGTACCAGCTACGCGACGGCAAGCCACGCGAACGACTTCGTAAACGCTAAAATCCAAGAACAGCTGTGCCTAGATGATAAATTCATCGCAAAGGTGACACCTTATTTCCAATATTTTTAATACTGTTAATCAACTGTTTCTCAACACAGCGCCAGAGACCCAGGAAAAATTATAAGGATCATTTTGGTCACTAAAACTTTATTACAAGTGAAGTAAAAGTAAGCTTAATTTAAATAAAATTAATATACATTTTTCGATAGTTTACAGTATTGAATTGGTGTAAGTTTAATTACAGTATTCACTTAAAAAACGAAATTGAAAATGGAAAAAGGTGATCTCATCCACAACACAAAGAAAACAGCTGAACCGATCACTATTACAATTGGTACCGTACAGCCTTAATTATTGAATAAACATGGTTAAAAAGACCTTAACGAATTATTCACAAGCTAACGCGCAAACAGTGCAAGACAACAATTAGGGTTTCCGATCAGAGAAAGAAACCAAGATGTTTTAGTACACTGATATGTTTTGATGGTTAAAACTCTGGTTTTGTAAAGGATATCAATGTCGATATAATGTATGGCGTTTCCAAAGCCACAGTGCTGGGAAAAGATGTCGAGATTCATGGCGGGCAATGCTATCCTGTGTTAATCCTCCTCCACCCCTAAAAAAATCGGGAGTCTCTCTCCCCAATTTATTTTGAGGGGAGAAGGCGAGTGTACATGGGTGAGGCAGTGAGAATTCTAATATTTGTTGGGTTTTGGGACTGTATAAAGATTCAGCTGAAAGATTCTCACGAGTCTAAAAACATTTTGAGCTTCCGTTTTGCACACAAAAAGCAAACACTGAACACTTTTTTAACCCTATATAATATATAGTAAATTAAAGTTCCACAATATTATATTTAGGTATAGGAAATTACTGTCACTTAAGGTGTTTCGATACGGTTTTCGGAGACCATAATACCGGTCGATTTTTTTTTCAATCGCCTCGTGAAAGTGATAGTTTTATCTTCGTCGTCCTTCGTCCCGATACGATTTTCACCACTTAGCGATTTTAGTTTTAAGTTAAATTGTTCTTACCAAGACAAAGAGAAGCAAAAAGCTTTGAAATCAGTAAGGACGAATTTCGCGCGATCTAGACCACAATTCAAAATCTAACACCTGGGGACACCTGGAACTTAAAGAATGGGTTTTGGCACATAACGTCCGTGAAAATAAAAATATTCTCTGTGTTCAAATTCAAATAAAACGCAAAAAATTAAACCTTATATTTTCATGTAGTCACTGATGATAAATGAACGGCTTAAAAGCAAATTCTAAATACTCAAAGCAGCAGCACAATGATGCTTGCCATGCACGGAAATTTTGGTGTATTTTTGTTTTTGCGATCTTGGAAACCAACTTTCTTTCTAAACACCTTTCCAAATGCAATTTAATGCAAAATCCTTATTTAAAAGTTTTTCCATATGTCTAAAAAACCTTATCACATAATCACCATGATGTGCATGAACAAAATGAATCAATCTTTCATTAACATTGATTTACAACAAGCCTAGCCCATACGAACTGAAGTCTTTGCGAATATAAGCCGCTTCTCATCAGGGCCTTGCATTCGTACAAGCAATACTTAGCTGTTCTTTTTCTGAGCAATATAATCAAAAGGTAGGGCTGAACACAAAACAAACAGAAGAGAAAGCGTTTCTTTCCGGTTTTTATGGTGTTAGCCTAGATCTCATCAAAATTTTTCATAAACTCAAAAAAATTCGGGTGAAATTGTCAGCGTTTGTGCAAAACTGAGTATAGCGTTTTTTCCTCTGACTACAATATAAAGAAGCACCCGTTTCTCGAAAGGCCCGGCGGGTCCGAAGGCAAAATTTAAAATCAAAACCTGTTCAATAGTAGCACACTTCCTAGCTCAGAAACCGATCAATTTTGCTTCCGGTTAAATTATAGCTTCATTGTATCATTTTCAAAATTGTTGAAACTTTGATTTTGAATGCAAACACCGCAAACGTGGAGCAGCTTTTCGGGGTCGAAAAGTTACCAGGACTTTCGAGAAACAGGCCCCAGAAACTGTTAAGACTTATAATAATTACTACTTGATCCGCAACATCATTCTGTTTTTCACATGCAATTGCATGATAGAAGTCCAAGCGAATGCTATAATAAAAAAACTAATCACTCAACATTTATCGCCTTGTTTGCTCGGAGACTTAAAAAATTGTCGTTATAAAACCATTTCCAATAAGCGCTGTATAGGCCATGAACAAACGATAAACGGTGAATCGCGCGGGATACCCTCTTGCAGACTGATCCAGTGAATAGCTAAATTCCCTGTAAAATTCCAGTGGTCTGAATGCCAAACTGATGCCTTTATGTAAGTAGGGATATTTTGGGGTATTCAAACAATCTGGCGATTGGTGTAGTACAGCTCCCATATGCCCGGATAGAGAGTACAGTCAAACCTGTATATAATGACCCTGTATTTTATGGCAGTCACCCTGTATATTATTATTACGGTCACCGGACAACTTCCCAACATTTTCAGTTGCCTCAGTTTTCTGCAAAGTTGTTCTGTATATAGCGGTCTCCGTACATATAACGGTCACCTTGCTATTTCGCAAGGTATGCTATAGTCCGCAAAGTGTCCTGGTTTACAATCTATTAAATTCGTCCTATTCCTGATTATATCTACTACCCGTCTTTATCAAAACTGAAATTCCCTTTTTTCGTAGTGAGTTTCTTATCTCTTTCATTTACTGACTGTACTTGCGCTAACAAAACTGAAAGTATTTTAAGTTACAACCATGATTGAAGTACTTAATCGTACCATACCTCCTTTAGAAATTGAGAAACTAATCACCTGACTAATTTTCGTAGGTTCATATTTGACTGAAGTGGCTCGGTGGCTTGCTAGCTCATTTTAAGAACGAGAAAGATATAAGACATACATAAGAAACACCAAGTATAAAATTTAAAGAAAAAGAAAAGGTAGGTATTGACATATATTTCAGTGGTGGTTAGTGGCTCGGCGGCTCGGTGGCTCGTCGTCTAGCCTCTTCCAGGCGTTCAGATAGTAGATCGCGGGAGAAAATTTCCACGAAGAAAAAAAAACGAGGGGAGACTAGACGCCCCCTCGTCCCCCCCGTTTTCCCGGTGTACAATTTAACTCGCTCTCCCCTGACCGGCGCGCTCCACTATCTGAAGATCTGAACGCCTGGAACCTGGAGCCGATTAAGTAATCGGCTCCTTCTGGAACAGGCTACTCGTCGTCTCGTCAGTCGAACCGAACCGCCGAACCGCCCCAACGAATTTACCCAGAAAATTTTCCCTGTTTTCTGTAGTTAAGCAAGCTAAAAGTGCGTGAAAGCTAAAAAGATTACCGTATTTATTCGAATAAGCGCCCAACCTCGAATTAACGCCCACCTCGAATAAGCACCAATCCTAGAGGCAGAAAAAGTTAATAAGCGCCCAGCCTCGAATAAGCGCCTACCCCTCCCCTTTCCACTCAAACTCAAGTAAGCGACCGCAACCAAAACCCACTCCCCTTCTCCCTCACAGCCCGGTAAAAAAACTGAATAAGTACTAATTAAAGACTTCCCCGAAGACGGAGTTTTGTTCAGAGTATTTTACAGAAACCTTGCTTTGTTACATCTTCGCGTTTTGTTATTACCATTTATTGTTTTGTTGCAAAATAAACATACTACACTTGCTGAAAATGATGAAAATTTAATAAGCGCCCACCCTCGAATAAGCGCCCACCTCGAATAAGCGCCCACTCTCAAGGTACAAAAATTTAATAAGCGCCCAGGGCGGTTAATCGAATAAATACGGTAACAGACAAAACGTGGTACTGTTTATCAGGCGGGGCGGGCAGTGATCGAGCAGAGGAACGAGGAACACGGGGATAGTGGGTGAGGGATTGGGAACTAGCCGATGATATCGATGATATCAAGATGGCGGCGTCAAGAGCGTTACTAAATGGCAGGTTAAAACGACCCGAATTTGCAAGAAAAGTCGCTTGTCTGGGGTGCTTATCTAGGTTTTTCAAAACCAAATCTGAGTCTTTAGTTTATTCCGAGCATGGTGATCCGGAGAATGTCCTAAGGTGAGAGGTGAGGTTTTACACAATGTAAAGTTCTACGCACACACTCAGGATTAAATTTAAAGTTTTATAGAAATTCAGGGCAGATTTCCACACAGCCCCATACATTTGTTATGCATACATATTTCGACTCTATTCAAATGTAACCTATCTGCAAAACATAGGTAGTGGGAATGGCAAAACAGCAGTGGACTAGCTAAACAACAACCTTGCCTTCAATATATAACGCTTTAATTTTTGTATATTTCTCTGCCATCATATGCATTGCACAACCACGACATGAAGCTGCCTCCCAATTCCATGTTTTGTTGAGGACGCGAACACAAGGCAACGATTTTCTAAATCCAATTTTTAATTTGAGACACAGTCAGGACTTCAAAATTCAACTCCAGAAAAATTCACCAAGATTTAACAAATTGGACGACATGGAAAATGAATTCTGTACCTGCCATGTGTCACGCCTTCGATCTCACGCCCGCTCAGACCTGTGTTCCAATTCATTACGCCTGGTAGAAAAGTTTGAGGTATTACAGCATTAACTGACTCATTTTGAAAAATATATTAATTATTTAAAGAAACTGGAACCAATGCGTCAGGACTTGCCACAGGTCAACTCGCTGAGTGAGTGCCGAAGGTGCGAGGGACGCTCATGAAGCAAATGAAAGTGGGTGACGAAGTCTCAAGACCAGCGACATAAGTCGCAAATTGACTTGTTCCGTCTGCAGAAAAGATTGAATTTAATTTGGATAATGTGGGTGCCAAAAAATTGTTTGTGACATCAGGTTGACAGGCTTGTGACAGCCCCCTGAAATAATCAGTTCTCATATGACTGGATCAGCGTGCAAAGAAAGTCGTGTCCGATAGCCCGGGGCTGGTGGATTTTGCTGTCGGGCTAGTGATTTTTGTTCTTAACTTGCCCAACGGGCAAGTGCTGCTTTGAGGGGAAATTCAAATTACAGAAGGATTGTAATCAATCCTGCTAATCAAAGAGGGTTTTCGGGCTAGTTGAAATGACTTGTGGGCTAGTACATGCTTGCTACAGCTTGCCCGAATGGCAGGCTGTAAAACTGACTTTCTTTGCACCCTGCTGGATGGTCTGAACACCGAGGTGAATGTAGATGAACTGAACTCAAAGAATGCTGTTTTTCGGGTTGGTATCTCTCCAAAATCGAAAGAACTAACTTGCATATTATGTGTAGAAAGTCTTTGAAATTCAAGTTTGCCAGGAAGGCTTCTTCCGGACCAGGCTAAGTCACCAGCACGTGTCAGTGAACTTTGGAAATCCTTGTCAGCTCAAAGCTGGGAAAAGAAAGCTGTCGGACAGAAACTATTTGTGAAAACTCTGCCAGAAGCAAAGAAAACATAGTGGCAGGTCGTTTCTGCTATCTATGTATGTTTTTGAATGGCGTGATGTGAAATATTTAAAGGCTTTTCCCTGAGCCTGTCAGTGCAATCATCAAGAAATCTCGACCACTAATGTACCCTTCTACCACTGTCTTTTGATTCTCTCTAATTTCAATTCTTTGAAGCCAACTTTCCTTTTTTTACCAGCATTTGTCACTTTGTGTAAGTTTATTTCCTGCACTTCAAAGCCAAGCACATGCCAATCAAAGGATTTGCCTGGATTAAGTTTCCCGAGAACCAACGCCACAAGATAAGGGGTTTCCTGATTGGATATCCCTAATGACACACCCCCGTCACACTGCCAGCCAGAAAAGTGGCCGGTCAAAAATAGCGCGCTTTAGGCGAGAAAAGTTCATTTCCCTACTGACCACCTAACCAGCAGAAACTGGAAACGAGCTTTGAGAAAGTCTAAAATGAGAGTCAGCAAAAAAGAAGTTCATGTGAATGATCGCCTTTCTCTGAATTCTCTTATTTTCATACTATGGAAAGTCATCATTCCCTTGTGTTCACATGTTCATGTTAGACAGAACTCTTTGGAACATCTTTGGACATCTTCAGATACAATCGGACCCCTACGAAAAATGCTGGCACTCTCAGGATAAAAGTGCCACACCTATAAATTAAAAAAAGTTGGCAGGTATAAAATTCACTTTTAAAAGACGTTTTCACCACCTTCATTGTGGTCATTACTAAAGCTCCCTCTTAGCAGAGTTGTCTGACTGTAGTATTACACCTCTGAAAAGATGTAATCACTTTCTATTTTCTTATTATTAGTGTAAGGAAAGTGGACGCAAATAACTTTGGTGACAGGTCTGTGTTGTTACACATGCTGGCAGCTCCAATAAACCCAGCTGATATCAATCAGATTCAAGGTTAGAATGATAATTCAAGCTTTGTCTTGGTACGTAACAATGTATGCACATGGGGCTCTCACATTCGATTAGACTACAATTATTTATTAATGAATAAACAATACTTACTTTATCATTGTGTGGGTTTGTTTTCTTTTGCAGTCAGCTGGTGCAGGTTCTGGGACCAAGAAATTTTGAGGGCCTGGAACAGTCAGATATTTCAAAAAATCCATGGAATATCTGATTGCTTCCTAAGTGGTTTTCAAAGGTTTCTCAGTCCAAGACCTCAAACCAGCTGACAGCAAAATTCAAGATGGCTGTCAAAAAAACCCCCATCCACACAATGATATAAGAAGCCCCTTGTGAGTTTGTGACTCTCAGTTGTGTGTTGTGTTATAATTATAAGGGTGCCTGCATAGCCTATTATTATTGCCTCTTCTTAGGCTATTACCAGTCCCTCGTTTTGAGCTTACTGGCCTATAGCCCGTAACACTCTATATTTTTAAATCTCATCTTTTGCTAACTGCTAGTAGCCTGCCTGCAAGCTCTTGAGGATAATAAAGGGCCACCCCCTGAATTTCCTGAGAACTTGCTAGTGGCCTACATGTAATCTGCAATCGGAGAAAAAATTAATGGAGACAGTTTGCCCTGAAGGGCCTTTTTGATGTTCTAGGGGCTTCAAAAGCTCCCCGATTCCCTCCATGTTGTGCTGCTGTTTGAGCTACCTGTAGAAAACAACAAACAGCCCAGCTTTGAATGGAGGAGACAGGGGAGGGGTGTGGACTGTTTTGTTCTCTGAAGTTACTCTATTTGATTACATTGTCGCAGCAATTTTGTAATGGGTTATTGCCATTGGTGATGGCCTTGAGTGCAGTGTTCTAACTGCTACACCTTGGACAGAGACAAGGTGTAGCAGTTAAAGCTATGTACCAAAAATAATTTCTTTTGTAATTATTACCATAATAATTATGAAAGAAATTATTTATGGTACACAACTTTATTTAAGCTGCTATGAAACCTTTTTTTTTCCCTTTTGCTGTATCAAGATGAAATCAATAGTCAAACCTCCCATAATTGACTACCCAACACTTGAAGAGTGGTGGTTACTTATAGGAAGTGTTTGCTAACGAGAGTCAAACTGCAGGAGGTCTTTTACGAGGAGAAGTCCAGGCAAATCCCTTTTTTGGAGAGAATGTATTGCATGCAATTTTTAGGTTGCAATGAATTATATGTAAATCCATGTAGTTTCTAAAAGTTCGTCTCATGCTCTAAATAGTGTAGTACAAACAGCGAAAACAAATGCCAGACCATTGTACCAGGTGTTCGCTTGGAAGGAGTTAAAAACAATGGAAAATTCTTAAATGGTGATTCAAAAAAGTGGTTGCAGCTGCTTGCAAGAGGTGGTGATTTATCAGAGGTTCCAACTGTAAGGCTTTGACTGGGAAAATTTTGGTGTTTTGGATAAAGTTGTCCCTTATATATGGGAAGTGATCGCTTATGAAAGGTGGTCGTACATTAAAGTTTGACTGTATAATATTTACAGAGTAATAATTCTCTTATAATATTAGATACTTAGGAACATCTCCATTTCAAGCTCACTGCATATCTAGCAGTATTCTATAGTACACTAGACAAAACTGTTCTGGGTTTACGTTTTATTATACAAAAATAAAACAAGCCAAGGAACCTCAATTATTTTTTTCTGTTTTGAACTTTATTAAATTTCAAACATGGAAAAATATTTGATCACACAAGGAGGACTTGCGTTACAGCATATCCAAACTTGGTAACGAAATCACAAAGGTATGAAAAATCACGTGATTTCTAACAAAGACAAATCAAACGTAACGCCTTAACTCAAGTCCTCCTTGTGTGATCAACATAAAAATATTTTTCCAAGAAGCCACCGGCCATTTTGTTTTGTTCTCATGGTGGAATTTAATAACGTTTAAAGGGCAAGAATATCATTAAGGTTCCTTGGCTTATTTTATTTTTTATGGTAAAACATTAATCCAGAACAGTTTTGTCCAGCATACTATGTATTTGTAGGTTCTATAATCAATTATTTGGTGCATTTTGTAACAGGTACCTATGGGATCAAGCCGCCTTTACCAGCTGTTGGTGGAAATGAGGGTGTTGGAGAAGTCACAGAAGTTGGAAGTGAAGTGAAAAGTCTCAGGTCAGGTGACCAAGTGGTACTAAGGGCTGATCTGAGCTTAGGTATTAAATGGTTTAATGTATGTCATCTTTATATTAATTCTATACACTAGAGAGTGTTTGGACTTAAATCATGGTCTTGTTTACAACTTATGTCTAGGGTCTTGGAGAAGACACCTTGTGGTTACAGAAGACCAAGTTTTGAAAATTCCAGCTGGTCTCCCTGTTGATGCTGCAGCAACAGTTAGTGTAAACCCTTGTACAGCTTTTAGGATGCTGAAGGACTTTGAAGAGCTGGAGCCAGGTAATTATAAAACTGTATCATTTGGCTAAGATGGCTGCAATACTTTAAAAAGGCAAGAATAGGCCACTTGCACTAAGAGCTCACATGACCAATGTTTCCTTTAAACAATGAGTTGGAATCTTGCTGATGCCAAAAATTGTTAGAGCACACAAAAATTATCTTACACCCGAAATTTGAGAGGAAATGCATTTAAGGGTGATATTTTATGACACTTTGATTTTTCAGCAAAGTAGTATGATTTGTATTGGCCGCCATGTTGGAGGGCATGCCTTTGCCCTCCAACATGGCGGCCAAAACTACTTCTAGCTTATATCTTGTTCAACGTTTCATAGTTACGCTCAGATGTGCTGTAGACGTTATCACATCATCTTTTCAACATTTCCCTTGAAGTTTAAGTGCAAAATTTGTGTTCAGAGAGGGGTAATTCATAATTTTAAAAATCACATTTTGGTCACGTGACCATTTGCGAACTTATTCATTTTAAGAAAATGGTGCAGGTTTGAAAAACCAAATGACTATTATTTTGTATGACCCACTAATCGTTTTTCGAAGGCAAAGTCATATAACTTTCATTTTCATAAAAACGATGTCACATGCCTCTTAGTGCAAATGGCCTATTTTGTCTGACTTGACAGGCCCTGTTTTTTTTATTTTACATCTGTGAAGCTCAGCAATAGCTAAAAATGTTGTTTCTGATGCTGTCAGTGCTTTCTATTTTTGTCCAAATAACTTGTCGTAGCAAGAACTTAGGAACATGCAGTTATTAATAACCTTGACAGGGCTTCTGATATTTCGCGGAAAAAAAAGCAAAATTTCGCGGGATTTTCAGGGGCAAATTCGCGGAAAAATCGGCCGATTTCGCGGGAAAAAAGTCAAAATTCGCTCAAAAATCGGCCGATTTCACTTGATTTTCGCGGGAGAAAAGTCAAAATTCGCAGAAAAATCGGCCGATTTCACTGGAAATTTTGGGGGGAAACTTCGCCAAGAAACAATCAGTAAAAAACAGCCGATTTCGCTGGATGTTTTTGGCAAATTTCGCTAAAATCGATCAATTTTGCGTCGATATGACCAGCGTTGTTTAAGGTGATTTCCTAGTAAAAGAACCTAACATAGATTGTAGATGAAACTTGGTACACTGGTGTAACAAGTCAAGAAGATGATAAAAAAGTAAGAAAAAGTGGGGGTCACCGTGCTCGTTTTGACATCACAATGCTGAGTAATACGGCTATTTTGGACCCTTTGTCAAAAACCGCGCGCAGCCCAAAACTAGACGAAAACGAGAGATTTTTTCGATGATGCATGTGGTATCGCACAGAATTTGACTTATTGTATTGTTTATCCACTTACATACCAGAAAAATACCTTTTAATGCTCCTGTTTTTATTTTACGCTCCAAAGTAGAATTGAATTGGACACGCGCTATTCGACCCCTGATAGCTCAATCCGTACAATTTAGTAAAATTGCCAAAAAACTGAACATAGATTTGTGCTAATTTTTTTCTCATCGAAAGGAAGCACTGTCCTTATTAAAATCATGAAATAAAAAATGGGGGTCACCGTACTCGTTTTTGCGGTAGAGCTGCAGAAAGTGCACACCAAATGCATTTTCTCCGAGTTTTGAGAGAGGACTGGGGCGAGTTTCAAAAATAGAATGTATGTGAAAGGGGGAAGAAAGTATTAAAAAATCTGTTTTTACAGAATTTACATCGAGATATCACATTTAGGATACAATGTGATAAAGAAAGGGTTTAGATAAAAATCAAAGTGAGTAAGCACAAGTTAAACATCCACTATCGAGGTTCTCCGTGAGGAAGTCGAACTCAGCAACACGCGTACTGCCTACGCTATGCACATACCCAACACATTGAGTCTCACCTCGGCAAGAAACAACCGCAAGCAAAAATTCCAGTAGCGTTTCTCTTCATTCAACTTCATTTTAATAATGTTACTTCACATGCTCTTTTTTATGGTGGCCATCTTGTTATGCGCAGTAAGAGATGCGCAGTGCAAAACCAGGGAATCACCTTAACGTTTTTTTAACAGGGATAATCACTTGCTCTTTCAACAACAGTTCGCTCGAGAAATGAGCAAATGCTAAAGCTGATGACATTATGGTTAGTGCCCAGTTTTTCGCAACGTTCATCTAAGACGCCTGGTAGTTTTGAGACGTTGTTTACTCGTTGCAGTGACGAAGTTTCAAGATAAATTTGGACGTTTGAGGTGAATAGAACAGGTCTAATAGCCAAGATAAGTATTAAATGTGTTTTGCCGACATGTATTTGGAAATATTTCTGGCGGATTTCGCGGTATTTCTTTTTTGGGGGGGAATTTCGCGGGTCCGCGACCGCGCGAATTATCAGAAGCCCTGCCTTGAAGAACCCTTATTGAGGGGGACATTGGGGGGTACCCAATACCGCAATACCGTAAGAAAAAATGGCAAATACCGAAATACCGCGTCGAAAATCGTCTAAATACCGATACCGCATATTTTAATCACATTTATAATCGGTTGCGCATACTTATGGTTGCTTCCATCTAGCGCGTTTAATTATCTCAAGCATTTATGCACCAGATGTCCATGTTTTTTTTTAATATTTTGGTAGTTCGCAATTTTCCGCAAATTTTCACTGAAAAGTAAACTACATTCGTTCAGCCTTTTGGTATTTCGACCCAACAGCTAATTAACTCCAATAAAAATAACTCTTGAAAGCGCGAAAAACAAACCAACCAAAACCCTTTCCACGCACGTCTAGTGCGAGTTTTGATATAAAGTGAGTCTAGTCTAGCACGTCAGTCTCTCAGGGGTCAGGTCACACGCCGCGGAGACCCAGGGGCAGATAGTGGGGACGAGGGAAAGTCTAAACGGGCGGAATGTCTTACCAGACCAGTTCCAAACGGTCGCCGCCGTTTTGGCTTCTGTTTGGTGCCAGAAAAACACAAGTTTCCTGGCACCAATCAGAAGCCAGAACGGCGGCGACCGTTTGGAACTAGTCTGGTAAGACATTGTCCAAGGGGCTCTTCTCGCCGTTCTTTACTTTTCTTCGTTCCATATATAATTTTCCGCCCGTTTAGACTTTCCCTCGCCCCCTTTATCTGCCCCTGGGTCTCCGAGGATGACGCCGCGCTGTTAAGAGGCAAACTTACCAACTTTTCGCTTTTAACTTTACAAGGCGTTTTTCAATTCTCGAAACCCAACATCTAAACTTATTCTTGTTGCGATAATGTTCACCTCCTTCGCCCTCTTCATAAAAAATTGCCACACAGTCAATGATGACCACGCCATCTTCAACCTCAACGACCTCAGACATTTTGAGAAAACGTCGAATTTCCGGCACAGGTACACAGATCGACAAGCCTGGTAAGGTAACTTGAGACGACTCATTATCACTGGATGCAACAACAATCACATTGTATATTATCGACCAAAATAACTGTCACAAAATGACCCACAAATGGTGTAATCATTTACCGTTATGTCTCAAGACTTCTAAATATTAACTTTTATTGACCTTTATGTCTTACTGTGTTTTGTTTTGCGTATTGTATCGAAAGGAAAGCGCAAATAAACAGTACCGTAATACCGTGAACAATCTTATTTCACCGAATACCGTCAGCCAAAATGATGAAAAACCGCATACCGCAGCGCTAAATGATACTGCAATACCGCACGTTAAAATTAAAATTACCGAAATACCGCATGAAAAAAAGCCCAATACCGCAATACCGTAAACCCCCATGTCCCCCTCCTTATTGCCTTGCTTGCTTCCTCCACACTGTTTATACAAAGATGTACTTTTATGGCAACTTGATTCTTCACTCAATAAGTTAGTGCAACACACTTTATGCCAACTTTCAGATGAGCTGCTCACAATCAACATTACATAAAAGGACAACCTGTACAAACTTAATCAACTTGGTATTATTTTGGTATCATTTAAATACATCAACGCTGTGGCCTTATTGTCACTACTGTAGTCACTCTGTTTCAAGTCCATAAACATGACAAGTAGTTAGACTTTTTAATCACTGGAAAACTAATAATTAATTTTAGTACATGTAAACTTCCAAATTCAATGAAGAGTTGATTATCACCCTCCTCTCAGTCATCTTTGTTATCCTCCTCATCACAGTAGAGTTGTTATTGTTTGTCAGAAGCTAAATTCAATACTTAATTGTTTATGGTTTAATTTTAATAGGTTTTCATGGTAGTTAGATGATATGTCTGTTAAACATTATTGTCAAGGTGATGCTGTCATTCAAAATGGAGCAAACAGTGGTGTGGGACAGGCAGTAATCCAACTTGCTGCAGCCTGGGGTTTAAACACTGTCAATATTGTTCGTGACAGGTGAATTACTTAAATTATGTGTACCAGTAAACCCTTTTGAGAAAGTTAAGTTCCTGCAGTAATAAGAATTAACTTGTCCCTTGTAAATTGTCAATGCAATATAAAAAATTAGCCTGGGAGTTAAGAAAATGATGACTATTCTTTTTTGATTGTCTTTATAGTTAAACAATGATTTTGTGAGATATGTTTGGAGTTCAGCGAGGACAATTATTAGTTTTGAACTGGTCTGGTTTGCATGCATTGGGAAAAAAGTAATGATCTTTTAACTGTTTGTTATATTAGACCAGATTTTGAAGACCTTAAAAGTCAGCTTGTGGGGCTAGGAGCAAATTATGTTGTTACTGAAGAGGAACTGAAAAGCTCTGAAATGAAGAAAACAATGAAGGTAAGTTCTGTCTTTTCAACTTGACTTTCCTTGGCAACCAAAATTGTCACAGCTTGGAGCACTGTACTTTCAATAGAAGCTAAACCTTTTTCCCACATTCATTGCATTAATAGATCTGCCCTCTCTAACATCTTAATTCAAGCCAGAATCATTGATTGTAAGTGTGTTCCTCACTCTCCAACTCTTTTCAGAATCTTGTGACTTTAAGAACCAACAATAATAATATTATACCTCACGGTAGAAGGTATCTGTACATGTCTGGCTCTATGAATTGAATTATGTACATGTATGGTTCATGTATTTAGAAAACTTTTTAGTAGTGTCTACCATTTGCAACAGAAATAAAGGGATTCACATATTAAGTGTGATTGAGGGATCAAATAAAATTGAACATAGGTGTGATCACTGTATGCAGTTTTTGGTGAGAAACCTTGGTTGTAACCTCTTTTACAAAGTTTTAGTTTTGGAATAGTATTAAGAAGTATTAGATTAGTATTGAGAATTTCTGTCATGTTATCAGAGTATCATCTCCTGTGTGTGAGCAGTTTACACCTCCAACACCAGATCTGGAGGTTCAGGGTTCAAGCCTTGCCCATCATGTTGTTTCCTTAGACAAGGAACTTTCTTCCACCTTGTCTCTCTTCACCCAGGTGAATAAATGGGTAGCAGTGACATACTGGTGGGGAGTAATCCTGCGATTGACTAGCATCCCGTCCAGGGGGGAGTAGCAATACTCCTAGGTATGCTTCATGCTAAGGAAAACCGTATACGCTCTGGCCGTTTGGGCCTTTGACTCTTATATGCCTTTACTTTCCTTTTTTTATCCCCATCTCACGTTGATTTTTAAGTACAACTGCAGCCTGTTATAAATCAGAGAAACATTTACTGGTTTTGGAATTTTTGAATTGGTGAGCGTCCATTTTACAGTGTCCTAAACTTTTACTTAAATACAAGAAATAAATACCTCTGAATTTATTCTTAGAACATGAAGCCTCCTAAACTTGCTCTGAATTGTGTTGGAGGAAAGAGCTCTTTGGTCCTTTTTCGCTATTTGGGGTAAGAAAAATGTAAAGGGAGTGTTTAACTTAGAGTCTTTCCTTGAAGTTTTGTATTGTCAGTAGTATATTTATTAAGAGGAGTGGCAGACACTTTGCTTTCAGAGTTTGTATGCATGCAATCTGTGCAACAACACTCCTTTGGCCTGAAACAATGGCAGTAACATCTCATGAAAAGTGTTTTACTTCCAGAACAAAAGGAACAATGGTAACTTATGGAGGAATGTCCAGGCAGCCTGTTACTGTACCTACGGTATGTGAACCATTGATAAACCCAGATTAGACCCCTATACTTTTAGCCCCTGAGACCTGAGGCAGTCTGAGCAAGCGGCCTTAAACCACCTAGCCTCCCGCGAAGAGATGTGAGCAGGAATAACAGCAATAGAGTGGGGTAGGGGGTGAGCCATATACTGATACAAAGTAAGAAGAAGTTCTAAATATTAAAAGCTAATGGCGAGGAAGCCCAAGGGAATCCACCTTGCTTATAAGCAATAGGCTCTCAGAAATGGGGGAGTGAGGGAGTAGGAATAACATGTACTCGCCCAGCGTCCAGGCCAAATGAGTCAATATCCTCAACAAATTTGCACTAGTATTTTCAAGATAGTCGTTGTCTGAGAGGTCACACACATAACAAATAAGACATGCCTGACCATAATGAGCTGTTGCAAATGCAGCATTAGGTAGTAGTGTAGCCGTGAACTTTATTGACGTGTCACAAATCTCTAGTGCGTAGCGACTAATTGGTGACACAAATAAAAGATAAAAATCATATATTTAAATAGTGTTAAAATAATGTTAAAATAGTGATGCAAATAGTAAAAGCTAGGAAAAATAAAAATATAACACCTATTATTAACTGGTAAAAATGTATGTATTGTAACAGGATAAATTTTGCTTTGTAACATAGTGTCTTAAAGTCAATTATTACAAATCATGCAGTTTCTACAGCCATCGTCAATTAAGGCAGTCAGGTCTGTTCTCCTGATAATATTATCAGTGAACTATACAATATGTTCCTGCTAATATTATGTCAACCTCCTGCATTTGGTTGTTTAGAAATAGCTAATGCTATGCATTAGATGAAAACGGTTGTTTCCTCCCTTCCCACCCCCACCCTTTCCTTGTGTTTTCTCAGAATGACATGCTTCTGTCCTCGCCCTCAGCTGCGTAGAGGCTCTTAGCTTGGATATTTTGCCAGTCATGGGTTTGGGAGTGTCAACCTCTATTGTTAACCTCTAATAATGAAAACTCCGTGAAGTCTTGGGCACTCATGGTTCATTTTGGGATGGAGTTCAGTGTTACTTCTCTTTTTCGCTTGGTGCTTTAATATTCCGTGTTGCCCTCAACGTTGGTCGAATCTTTGTTGCTATTTATATTTTCCTCTTAAGGGTTCCTTAATATTCAGTGATGTGAAGGTCAGAGGATTCTGGATGAGCAAGTGGAGCAAGGAACATCAGAAAGGTACCTGGTTTAGATTCTTGGTTTAAAACTTGAACCATTCTTCGCCCCATGTAAGGGAATACGGATTCCGGAATCCGTGATATTTTTGCTTTTGGATTCCAGAATCCAGGAACATTTTTCTTTTAGGAATCTGGAATCCAGGGCTTTGGAATCCAGAATGCAGCTCAAGGAATCCGGAATCCTACTAAGGATTGGAATCCGGAATCCAGAGTCCAAATTCCACTGAAAAAGACTGGAATCAACTAGCTGGAATCCAGAATCTACGGCGTGTAATCCAGAATCCAAGACTGTCTTGGGTTCCCTTACGTAGGGCGACATTCTCCCCACATGGGAAATGCTCCATCTCACGAGTTTACCAAGGTGAAAACTTCAGATTTTTGTGTCAGCGGGAGTATTGTCATAGGAAAATTTTATTGTAAAGTGTAGCACTATGAAGGAATCAACCTTGTTACACAAAATATAATCTCTGTATCTTTTTTTTAGCAATTTAATATCCTTCCTTTTCAAAATAGTGGCATGTTTGTTCTGCAGTGAATCTATCCGGTTACACTCCGGCATGTTACAGCTGATGTTGGAAGCGCAGTTTACATCTGGACAATATTTTCCTAGAACTTTAGGCGAAACAGATGTAGGTAGTTCTTCCATGAAATACAAACGACATTTGTTCAAAAATTAGTTAAAGTTTCGGGACAGTATGAGAGAATTTATATGTTTACCAAGTCTCAGTAAATATAGCAACCAGCTAATGGGCTTAGTTTATGTTAAACTGTCGAAATTATTGTGTTCGCTTTGCCGACTCAGCCTTGATGACTTTGTTTTTCGTTAGACGTTACAAGGCTTGCTATGCTAGAGGAAGTATGTAACCTGGTACGTGAAGGAAAGCTCAAGGCTCCACCTTGTACAAAACATTCATTTGAGAACTTCAAGACGGCCATATCTGATGCAATGAAGTCATACTCAAAGACCAAGCAACTGTTAATTCTTAATGATGATTAAACCTCGGACGATTTTCAATCGCCTTTGCCGAGTACGGCCCGCTCAGCAGTGGACGCGTTTTCCCTCAAAAAAAATTTCTGTGTGGCGCTACCTAACGCTACATGCCTACTTGTTCCCGCGCATAGCCTCAGTTACACGTTACTGAGTGCAGCTGTTGTACAACTGATTAAAACAGTCCGTAAATTAAAGTAAGGGAGACATAGATATATAATTACGTAAGCAATACTGCGTCTTCATTAAGAGTATCGCAAGACAACTTTCATGCGTAGAGAATGAGATAATATATAGCGATACTCACGTGGACGTTACCTATTGATATTAATGTGCCAACCAGAGGCGCATTGGTCCTTGTAACAAAAGATCGTTTTGTTCTACTCGTTACAAATTTGAATAACTAAAACAATGTTTGTAAACAGTGATGCCTCCTATTCAAGTACTTTTTTGAAAAAGGAAGTATTATCATGCTTGCCCGAGGGTTCTTTCGAATCAACTAAGAACATAAAATTTTTTAAACATTTATAGAATGAATTTTAGCCGTCTCCTCGAGCCGCAAACTCGAAAAAAAAACTTTTGCGTAAATGAAAGCATAGTTTAGTGATAGTTGAAACTGCATTCCTAGCAATACTCGTAGGCATGCTTCATGCTACGGAAACCGGTATTCAGAAAAGTCGGTTGTATTCACATTAGTATCCAGCGAGCACCGTATTCAGGCACCGTGCGCGGACACCAAGTGTGAACACAGAAGTTAGACAACATCCTCACGACGCACGAATGTTTCTGTTAGATTGCCGTGTGTGAACAGTCGTAGGTAAGCTTTTAAAATGCATTTTGCGAATTTAACCAAACTCATGTCAACATGTCCTCCCGATGGCTTATTTTAGGGGTATTTTTTTTTTAATAATTAAGGAAACCGTTTCTCCCCGCTGGCGCTCTGTGCTCGTTTCCATCACCCCCAACTCCCACTTCTCACTCATCGACAGCATCCCGTCCGTGTTCCTAGTGCCGAAATCCTGTGCTGATAACACGTCACTACCCAGATCTGGGTAGGGTTTCTGATTCGTTGCAGCAAATTTTCACTAATAAGAAGCGAAATGTCGGCTGTCTTCTCAGGCTCAGCGCAGCTGGAGGAAATGGTGAAAATTATGTAAATAGATAAACATGATAAATAAATCTAAATAGATACATTTTATTAAATAAAATTGGAAATAAACAATGTGCGTGACTCGGCTAAATTTATTGATACTTCAGCTGGGCATACGGGCAAAACATCATGCGGGACCACTGTTAGAGTGACCATTTCTTTTTCATTACCTTTTCCAAAATAGCAATTCATACCGGTAGAATAGTGTAGCCTGCGTGGCAGGCGTTCGAAAGCGGAGAGGAATGGAATTTGGGTGCGAGACCACTCGCGAGGAAAAAGGGGCTTCTCGCGCCCGGAATTTCCTTAATGTGGTGGGTATTCAGCTATTTCGAGAAAGGTTGTCAATGTGTACGCGACAATCCCGAGGGTAATATGGGGTATGATCAATACACGGTTCAGACGGTTCCTGACACTGTAGCTGTCGAACATACTTTTGTTGATTTCCTTTAGCATTCGCAAACGTGGTCTGAATTTCATCCGATTCCTTGGAGTCGTTATTACTCCCTCCTAGGCCTTGTCGGATTGTGCTCCGAAAAGTGGCATATTATGCTACTAGCAGTGCTCGAAATTTTGCCAAATTATGGCAAAATTATGCTAGAATTCCCAAATCATGCTCCTGGTTTCCGAAATTATGCTCACAAAATGACGTAGATTCTGTACATATAGGCGCGGAATAACGACACCAAATTATGATGTTTTTCAAATAAACTGTTGTTGTAAATTTATTTGTGTTTTATGGCAGTTTGTCTCGGCCCTCAGCTGTCCAAATTAGCTGCTCGCATCTCTGAACCGTTTGTAAAATGCCTTCAACGACTTGACGATCACACTTGTATATACTGACTGGACCAAAAGGATATAGTACTCTCTTGATTTAAACTAACTCAAACTATAGGGAACTATAACGTTGAAGAGTATCAAGCCACGAAGTAAATCAACTTGTCTTGACAGTTCTGAGTTCTGTCAGCACCAATAATTCAGGGGCACACAACGAGAATATAGTTCAAAACCACTTAAACATAGCATTGTTAAACGTATTTTAGTATTTAAACGGTAGATATAGGCATTTTTTTTATCCCCTAAAAATTTTTCATCTGTTCGGATTTCCTAGCCGAAAGTCTAGTGATCCGAAAATTATAGGGATCAAAACTTACCTTTTCGAAAATTTCAGCCAGAAAAAAGGCTCCCGAAAATTCTAGGTGATCTTTTTAGGGTAAAAATCCGTTAGAAATGGGCAATAATACCATTTTTTGGATGTTCGAAAATCCTAGGAGAGGCAGGCCAGGAAGAAATTTTACAACAAATGTTTCGAAAATTCTAGATCTCAAATCGTCTTCCGAACAGATATTTTTCCGAAACTTGTCGTTGGGTGCCCCTGATAATTGCTTGAATAAACATGGATAGGAATAGTATACACAAGTCAACATCAGCGCTTATTGTACTGCAGCATTACGCTGACCTCGAGATAGTCTGCCAGAGCGCTGTCCTGCTGATCGCTAAATGTTGCTAAGAGTAGGGAGAAGGCTCGCTCAGCTGCAGCAGAGAAAGGCTGCACCAATAGAAACTGCTTCACTGCGGCTGATTTAATTTATTTCTGTAGAAAATACACCATATTTACCAAATTTTATGAATTTAAACTCCAAAAAGTGCTAAAATTTGCTAATTATGCCGTGGCAGTGCTTGTTTAAAAAATTATGCTTTTTCCCTCCAATTATGCCAAAAATTATGCTAACAGAATCCGCCAAGGCCTACTCCTACTCCCTCCACCGCTGAGAGGAGACTAACGACTCCAAGTCAGGCTATCGCAAACGTTCTTTCAAATTTCTTTGAAGGAAGTGAACACAATTGCACCCAAATACCTTTCGGGATTGTCGCGTGCAGTTTTCCGACAACCTTTCTCGAACCAGCTGTACTACCTCTCCTTCACCTTTCAAACGCCTACCCCGCAGGCACAGGAGGGTCATAGGCTTCTATGACGTATTAGAAACTTTTAATTTATGAGCGTGCGCATTACAGTGAACCATCGTCATTGTGGCGGTTTGGCGGGAAAACGTGGTGCATGCACGGGTTCCTGCACAGGCAGCCCAAACTCTGTGGGAGTTCGTTGGACTTTGAATTTATAAGAGAATATATGAAAACAAACAAGATACGTCCTAAATTCCAATATTTTGGACAAAAATAGAAATAAAAATGACTTACCTTGTGTTTGTGTTTTGTTATTTACTGTCTCTTCGCCTCTAGAGCCATTTGGAAGCCGTTTTATTGACGTTTAAGAGGCGGTCCGTGTAAGAACCGACCACTCGAATTTCCGCGGAAAACAGAATTCCTTCATTTTTTTTCTGCAACATAATTAGCCCATTCCATTAACAAATATCGAATTTGTTTGGCTCATAGTGCTTTTTAAAAAAAATTTGGGCGGCGATTTGCCTGGACGGTCCAAAGCTGTCATGATCGTCTTTTTGAAGGTCAAATTTAAGCGTGTTGTTCAAAGCTCGCAAAAATTTCGCATTTATCCAAATAGCATAAAACAAAAGTGTGATTTTAATTCATGCTTCCTTTATTCAAAAAAGGCAAAATATTTAAATTCTGACTTTAAAAAAACGAGTTATGATGTTTTGAAAATATCACGTAAAGCGTCCTTGAAAAAAATGCGCGGTTATCCTAGTTTTAAAATAAGCTTTTTTCAAAAGTCTGACGTTATCTGGAGTCTTGGTCACCCTCCCTGTTCAGTAATAGGGCTAGTGTATCGAAATCAAGAAAAACATTTTTGGGCACTGTTGATTCCGAAGCACAAGAGTTCGATAAAGTTGGGTAATATTTTACTGTAATTGTGCGTATGACGTAATTTACGCATTTTGGTGATTCCGAACTTTCCCACTGAAAATCAAACCGAGAGAGCAAATGTATTTAAAAGTGGCCTTTATTGTTCGAGATAAACTGTGAACAGCTAACAACTTACCAAATGCTACACGAAACTAGGAATTGCGAAGTTTAATAGTCGAAATTATCGATTCCGGGGTAAGTTGTCAGTCGTCTAAGTTTACTTCTAAAAGCCGTTTACAAAATTTCATTCAATTAAACTGGTCGTAGGTTTTCCTGATCAACAAAAAAAGAAAAAGCTTTTCATTCAGGTTAAGCATATAATTACTTGACGAAAGTGAGTCCTGTTTAAAAGAATTACACATTTTATTAAAAACACTCAGTACATTACAGCCGAAATTCAAATCATCTGAACAGTGTTAATTTCCCGTCACGCTGGCTACGCGTGAATGTCAGTCTTTTAGCTTGTCACGCGTATGTGCCTTTTTAGTACGGTTGACAAAAAAACATGTTCTTTTCTAATTCGACTTTTCAAAAAGTATAAAGGTCTTAAAACGTCTTTTCAAGTTTTCGAAAAATAACTGCCTCCACGATCTTTTTGAACTCGAGGTCGAAAAACCCTGTTGGTTACTATATTAAATAGCGGTTTGTGCCTTAATGCGGCTGGTTACAGTAACAGCCTTCAAGAAATTCGGATAGGTTCGCTACAAGAATTTTTTTCTATCGCGAGAACTAAAAGGAATTTCAAAAAGTATAAAGGTCTTAAAACGTCTTTTCAAGTGTTTGAAAAATAACTGCCTCCACGATCTTCTTGAACTCGAGGTTGAAAAACCTGTTGGTTACTATAATAGCGGTTTGTGCCTTAACGTGACTGGTTACAGTCACAGCCTTCAAGAAATTCCGATAGGTTCCCTACAAGAATTTTTTTTCTATCGCGAGAACTAAAAGGAATTTCAAAGTACTTCAACATGTCCTTGAGCATAGCAACGCTAAATCTTTCAAGTTTCTTCTCGTGTGAAAGGTCACATAAACAATATGAATCATAGCAGATCGGATGCTTAGGACCAAGGTGGGTGGCTACCTCTTCCAGGGTGGCTCGTCTTTCCTGCTCTTCCTGTTCCGCCTCTACGTCTTCATTGAGCGCTTCCCGATGTGCTTTGCTTCTTCGCGAGGCCGCTAGCCTCGAAAAAAATCCCTGTACTTGACCCTTTGTGAGCCAATGTTTCCTCTCAAACATCCGAGAACTGTCTGGGTTTCTTGCAGTTCGCACATCTGCTGCCACTTTTGCGGGATCTGACTTGATGCCAGTTCTTTCTCCAAGATCAAATTTCGTTGTTAGGTTCTGTTTAACCTCGGTAGGAAAACGCACAGCTTCGTTTCGGGGCTTGTGTAGAACCCATCCAGTCTGCAAGTCACTGCACTCGGGAAAGCGGCCAGTTTTATTCTTTTCGTGATGCTCCTCTACAACTGCTTCAGGCACGCTTCTGATTTCTTCGTCCTTATCAACAGTACGAAATTTCTCCGCCCAGTCTCTTCTGAGCTTGTCATACACCGTATCAGAGTTTCCGCGAACTTGGCTGTGCTCACCAACATCAAGGTGATTTTCGAGTTCACTGAATTTCTTGAAAACCATGTTGCACCCGGGCTCAGAACAAGAGAAAAGACCGTTGCATTGTTCATTTTCACTGTTTGTCTCTCTCTTATACACTCGAGCTTCTTTGAGAGGAAAGAAGTTTTCATGCACAATGAGACCAGTAGGACCTTGAGGTTCAGTTATGACCTCTCGGTAAGGAATAAACTTGCCTAGTCCAACACCATAAGCTTTCCATGCTCTAATTCCTTTCACTTCAAACTTGAAATTGTGATACTTGCTGAAACCTTCTATCTTATGTAGTTCGAGTGTCTTTTGAGTCTCATTCATTGCGCACACGGAGGCAGTTGTACCTTGAACAGGACATTCTGAAAGCGCTACACGCATGTCTTTCGCAGAAACGACATCGTGTCCTTCATTGCAATATCGTCGGATGGATGATTTCATTGGACAAAGGATTCTATCACAGATATCTTTTCCATACTGCGGCTCGGAAAAGTCATACAGTGCTACTTCAATGCCTACTCGTCTTCCGGCATCTCTAACGGCGGCTAAGAGAAAGTTATTGTGGTAACAGCCTGCTTCGTCACTCCTTAGGTTCACTTGGGTAATCTGGGGATGTTCTTTCTTTACAACCTCAAGTGTGTTTTCGATGATCGAGCATACTGCGTACCAGTCTTGCTGGCAAGAGTCGAAGATATGAGCATACGATTGCAGCTCAATTTTTCCAGAGTCAACATTCTTAGTTATAAAGGTGGAAATATGCCAGCTGAGCCCCCGTTTGCCGAACCATTCAGACTGTTTCTCACGAAATTTTATTTGGAGGAACTTCATGGCCCAGTCCATGATCAGAATGGCTGACTGTGGGTCTTCTGCCGCTTCTTTAACCACCAAAGTTGATTAAAGAAGCGGCAGCTGTTATTGCGCGGCCTATAACAAGTATAATAAACTGTTGCATTGAACATTGCTGTTATCCTGCTAGCTGGAAGATGGGCATGGTTACTCCTCTGTACAAAAAAGACGACGAGTTTTGTAAGATCAACTATAGGCCCGTAACTGTGCTCCCTGCTCTAAACAATATTTTTGAAAGGCTTCTATCGGGGCAGATGTATGAATTTTACAATGGGGTCTTATCAGACTTCATAAGCGCTTATAGAAAGTTTTATAGTTGCGAGACCTCTTTGCTAAGGTTGACCGAGGACTGGAGAATGATGCGTGACAGGGGGGAGCTTGTTGCGGTAGTTTCTATGGATCTCTTCAAAGCGTTTGATGTTATTCAGTATCCACTCCTCCTTTCGAAACTGAGGGCCTATGGTATGGACGACAAAAGTTGTGCCCTAATTAGGAACTATCTCTCTAGCAGAACTCAGAGAGTTAAAGTTGGAGACACCTTTTCGACCTGGGAAAGCGTCAAGCGTGGGGTCCCGCAGGGGAGTGTGTTAGGTCCCATGCTATTCAACATTTTCATAAACGATCTTTTCTTCCACGTCAAGAAGGCCAAGTTGAACGCTTATGCGGATGATCATCAGGTATACTACTCCCACGTCGATCCGGCAGCTCTGGATGCATGCGTATCTCATGATGTTGGCGTGGCCAATCAGTGGTACCATGAAAATGGGATGTTAGTTCATGAGAGCAAGCACCAGTGTCTAATCCTCGGTGATACGGAGTATGGTTTTTCCTTCCCAGTAAAGGACACGTTAGAGATTTTTGGAATGGAAATAGATAATAATCTGAATTTTTCTAAACATATATCAAATGTATGCAAAAAGATTAATAATCAATTTAATGTTATGTTGCGCTTTAGAAAACTCATACGCAAGGAAATCTTATTCAAACTTTACAAAGCGTATATTTTACCTCACTTTTTTATTATTGCTCCTCTGTCTGGCACTTTTGTGGAGCGCGCGATGCAGATAAGCTCGAAGCTTTAAATAAAAGAATACTTAGATTTATACTTGGAGATTACTCGTCTCCATACAACACTCTTCTCTCAAAAGTCAGCTCTACTTCTTTGTTTAACAAACGCATTCAAAATTTCCTCATTCTGTTATATAAGAGTTTGTTTTTCACTCATTTTCCTACTTATATGAAGAATATGTTTTCACTCCGGTCCTCTACCTATGATCTTCGTGGCAACTACATTCTTTCACTAAGTAAACCTAAAACAACTACCTATGGTCTTAACTCCTTTTCTTACTTTTCAGCTAAGCAGTGGAATGCACTGCCGGACTTTTTTCGTACCAGTTTTTTTGCAGACTTTAAGACTAAAATACAGGATGTTACCTTCATGTAGATTCTTTTTGCCTGACATACTTAAACTTAAAATTGTGAATTGTAAATGATATTTTCTTTCTTTGCATTTAATGTATATATATATTTTCTATATAGTTTTTATGTAGTGTCAGCTCGAAGATATTAGCTTGTTAGCTACCCTAAAATTCGAGTTTAAATAAAGTTTTATGTTATGTTTATGTTATGTTATGTTCTGATTTCAGTGCATCTTGTTTCGCCTCCTCCTGATTTATTGAGCGTACAATGTGCGCTTTCCACAGCAAGATGTCTGACTGTGCACGGTCAAAGTCGTAAAGGACATCTTCTCGTTGTTCGCAACTGTAAGGCTTCCATGACGACCCTTCAATCGCTAGTCTCACTTCCTTTAGAACATCCTTCAGCCCTTGGCATTGCTCGCAAGTCGATTGATGCTGATGCGGACAAGGATGCTGGAGCTCGGGATCAACAGGATCACTAAGCGCAAACTTTCTACAGTGGTCAGCACAAGTAGAGTAATGCTGTTGACAGTGTACACGGTAGTCAGTTTTGAGATAGCGTTTAGCATCGCGTAGGTTTTGGCAAATACGTAAACACCACTGTTTCTCCATTCCTCCCTTCTCAAGAGTTTCAACCAGCGTCTCAATAGTCTGAACGCCCGCAGCACCATCTGCAGCCGTATTGTCCAATCCCTGGAGCGATTTACGCTGAGACGCTTCTCGAACCTCCAATATTTTAAACAGAGAAGACCTACTAAGTGGCTCGTGACATTGCTCTTTGCAATACTCCAAGTATTGCTCAATCATTGTAGACCTGGTCAGGATCCTTACAACGTTAGGCATCTCAATTCTGTCACCATTATCTAGGGTGAGTACCTTGTTACCATATGAAACATCCTGATAAAAGTACGGTCTATTAATGAACTCTACAAAGTGGTCGACCTTCCTCATATCAAGGCGTACGCGATGCTTCGTCTTGATTTCAGGGATGGTCCCAGGACCGTGCATTTTAGCATGAGAACGTGCTTGCTTTATTTCCCATGTAGAGAGACTTCCGTAAGGTTGGTGAATTTTCTTCAGTTTGGTCATAGGGTATCTTTGAGCGTAAAGGCTCAGAATCTGTTTCTTTAAATTCCTGGTCTTTGCGTTCTTATAAGCAGTCATGAGTACCACAAGATCATCGGGGACTGCGCCATCAAATAATTCTCTTTGTACAGACATCATTGACTCGAAGAGCTCCTCTCCGTTACCTGGGGCAATTACATTACATACGTGCATGCAGTCCTCTTTAGCCTTTTTACAAATTTCAGCTGTTCCCCATCGCTTAAGTTTTGGAATGGAGTTTTAAGCTGATATTTAAGAGGTTCGCGTTCTACTTGTTCTTGTGTAGTAAGACTCGCAATTGTATCCATCGCCTCGTTATACCTGCCGACTGCATCGGTTACCACGGGTGAAGTTAAAGAGGCCTCCTCTGACCCTGGAGTCCAGCATGGTGTTATCGGATTCCAGGAAGCTGGCGTTGATTGGTCTTCAAGAAATGGAGTGGAAGTGACCATGCGACCGATGGCTCCCACAGCAGCCTCTTTAGCAGGTCTGCGGAGAATAAAAATGGAAAGGTTGCTACTTAGTTGCCTTGCGATAGGATAACCTGACAGGACAACCGTGTGTGTGTTTTTTATAAAACAACAACCAAACGACTACCCTCCCGACAGTACCTTTGAAGGAGCACATCTCCCTCAGTTTCCTCAGGGTATAGCCAGTCTGATTTCCGATCTACTTCTTCACTGTGTTTCTTTCTGCACGTTGTGCAAATAGCTATAGTAACAAAAAGAAACAAAAAAAGTTTTCCAACCTGGAAAGACTTGTTAAAAAATACTGAATTTACTACTAAGTTGATAATAGAAGCTATATGTTTATATCCCATCTTGGAAATTATGTTATATAGGCTATAAATTAGCAACCGAATTTATGGATGATGCACAGCAAAGAACTATTGCTGTAATGAACTACAAAAACCAAATTATGATCATTTGATATGTTAATTTTTTTGGAAATGATTTTCTGGCTCCAAAATACTATCAAATACGGGATCGATCGTTTATCGTTCAGAAAATATATAGAATGGGACTTCCCCTCAATCTACAGCTCGCTTTTAAGTAATTACGAACGAAAGTATTTAGTTGAAATGTTAAGGAAGACAAAACCCTTTAATTCTGATATGTTAATTATAAAATGAAAGCATAAAACAGTTATAGTTGCTAGTCTGATAGTACTTACGCGAGCCAACGGGAACGGCTTCTTCAAAGATATTTTTTATTTCCCTTGCAGTCTTGAAATTAATAACATGTGTTCCGGCTATTGCCATTTTCTTCCCGTGATGTTTTGGATACTGGCAGGTCTTTGGAGCTTGCCAGTATTTTCCCAAAGTGTAACGATGGACTGGACAAACCGTCATATTCTTGATCTGATCATCAGTGAGTTCTAACAGACCTACCCTTGCCAGTATCAGATCCATTTCACAAACATTTTCCCTTGACAGGTGGTGATTCATTAGGTGTGAACTAATGTCAGCGTTGCAACAATTCAAGCACACAAAATCGACACATCCTCGATTACTTCCGCATTTTCCGCCTGTTAATGCGGAAAAAGAACAAAATGCAGCCATTCTATCTGCGAAGGTTATCTCGGCACACTGTAAATACGCTCTACGTTTTGTGTTGCAAATTTGCATACGATATTAAATTAAGTGAACGACGCCAGAAAAATTAACTTAAATTGAATTAAAAACTTGAAGAAATTTTTAGTAAACCAGCAAAACATTTTTATTCTTAAAAGTAGCCAGTTTTTTTGTACCTTGTTTATTGTACCTCGTTAAGCCTGATAAGTAGTTTCAGCTTCGATAAAATAACATCCAACATGTTTTGCACTGCAAACTGAAATCTGAAATTGACATCCTCAGACACAATATAAATGATGTCGTCTGCACGCAACAACTTGTGGCTAGAAAATTTGGTACATTTTGGTAAACTATTTCTTTGCTGGATCGTGTCATAACTTTTGAGGTGGTAATTACACGGTAAATCTATTCACAATGTGTTTTAAATTTTTTTTTACCGTTCTAGCTCCTTTATTTCAACGAAATTTCTTAACTGTTTAGCCACCACTTGACATAGCAACATTCACCGGAGCTGCTACGTTTTTTGGAACATCCCAATTTTAATTTAGGACAATATGTAGTGGATTTTAAGATATTCACTGTTTGTCCCCAGCATTAAGTTAGTTTTGAAAATAGTTGCTCCCTGACAGTAATGATTTTTAGTTTTATAGTAGGAAAGTTCGGAATCAAGAAAATGCGTAAATTACGTCATACGCACAATTACAGTAGATTGATACCCAACTTTATCGAACTCTTGTGCTTCGGAATCAACAGTGCCCAAAAATGTTTTTCTTGATTTCGATACACGAGCCCTATTACTGAACAGGGATAGTGACCAAGACTCCAGATAACGTCAGACTTTTAAAAAGAGCTCATTTCAAAACTAGAATAACCGCGCATTTTTTTTCAAGGACGCTTTACGTGGTATTTTCAAAACATCATAATTCCTTTTTGGGGGTCAGAATTTAAATATTTTACCTTGTTTGAATAAAGGAAGCATGAATCAAAATCATACTTTTGTTTTATGCTATTTGGATAAATGCGAAATTTTTGCGAGCCTTGAACAAAACGCTTAAATTTGACCTTAAAAAAGACGATCATGACAGCTTTGGACCGTCCAGGCGAATCGCCGCCCAATTTTTTTTTTAAAAAGCACTATGAGCCAAACAAATTCGATATTTGTTAATGGAATGGGCTAATTATGTCGCAGAAAAAAAATGAAGGAATTCTGTTTCCCACGGAAATTCGAGTGGTCGGTTCTTACACGGACCGCCTCTTAAGATTTTTCTTACTGTTAGTAGTACAACCGCAAAATCTTTAAATAAACGTCGATAAAACGGCTTCCAAATGGCTCTAGAGGCGAAAAGACAGTAAATGACAAAACACAAACACAAGGTAAGTAATAACTTCCTTAAATAACAACTACAAACCGTGTTAACTTTTCTGGTGAAAAAACGGAAAATGAAGCTCTGTGGTGTCTATTTTTTGAAAAAAAATTTAAGTCAAATCTCGTCTTTGGCTACTTTCACAACTGGTTACATATATTGTTACATCATGCATAGGTTTCTTATTCACACGTCATTTTATGGAGAAAAAAACTCGTCTTTTTTTTCTAATTTCGTGAGTATAGCGAATTTACTGTGGATTCCATCCGACATAAAACGCATTCTGTTTCGGGCCGCTCCCGTCTGGAAATTTCAGTGTCAAAACTGCCGCCGTGGAAATATTCCTTTGATGTCTTTCCCTGGAATAAACCAGCCTATTTTGTATTTCACTTTCTTAGCATTCAAAGAGACCCTGTTGTTTGTTTAAAAAACAAACAAACAAAAAAAACTATCCCATTCACGCCTTGAAAAACTTAGACTAGACTTCGACTCTGACCTGGCCCTCCCCACTTGGTTTCCATATTGCACCCTCCAGGGTGCCCTGCTGACAAATTATGGTAATCAGTAAATGGCCTCATTATGCGAATAAATATTGTTTATTGTAATTGTAATGTCTGGGTGACATCCAAAAACAAGAATTTTATATGCATGATTGGTTTTTTCAGTTTTTGGTCTCAGCTCGATGCGCTGGGTTTCCGGACACTCAATTTTTTTCGGTATCATAGAAAAGTTGACCGTCCCTCAGGAGGTGCAAATTACAGCGGCTGTCCCGCGAGACGGCCGGCCGGGCGTAGGAATTCAATGAAGGGGTGTTTTGTTTCATTGCTCATCCGTTATCGTGCAGCGAAGGAGGGATTAGTCTTTTCATCCCTGTGGATATCGACAAAAGCGAATAACTGATTGTGGCTCTTAAAGAAAGGATTTTTTCATGCACTGCGGAGGATGGGAAGCAAAAGAGATGCCCCACTTACGGTTACATTTCCAATCCCCAGGAAAGCGGCTAGCAAGCTTCGCACGATGGCAGTTAGCAGAGATCGGCGCTTGTTGGACCTCGGGGTGCTAGCTGTGCAGATCAATGAAGGCGAGAGCATTGTACTAGGAATAAAACTAGGGAAGCAAAGAATAAAGAAAACGGAACTGGCTGCAGCGAAACTACGGGGAAACGCGAGCAGAGGACGAGTAAAGAAGGCATCTTCTCGTAGGAATGTAGCGACAATTCATCACATGCCAAATGATTTCAACTCGCAAGCGTCGATTGCTCATGGGCTGCAAACCATGCAAGATTTGAGCTTTGGAAATGACATGGCGAAGAGAAAGAGAGTTGTCCGGTCAGATGGAGATGTTGCAGAAAATAATTTATTCAAAGACTCAAGCAAAACATTGAGCAATCCTCCCAAGAGTTGTAATCAATTTCGCCACGTATCACATTCCACAACCTCGTCAATCGCAAGTTCATTGAGTGCGCATTCGAGTTCCGCCGATTTGTCATCACATCTGAGTAAGCTCAAGAACAATTCGCAAGACAATAGCGGTCTTGCCCCGGAGGAGGGCTTAATAAACTCTGGATCAACTATGCAGAAAACGTTGCAAAAACCGTCTGGTAGTCCAGCTTCGGTTCTATCGAGAAAAACCAGTGTTGAAAGCCTTGTATCTCATGGAGCCGTGTCGTCTCCTGCTAGTCAGAGAACTTACAGCGCCAGTCCAAGCTCAGATACCAGCAGTACGAGCTCTGAGGAGAATTTTGATCTTCATCATGATCAGCTGATTTATGACTGTTTTGTTGACAGAAGCAAATACAGTGCTGCTGACATACTGAAAGAACTTGCCAAGACTCATAAAATTAAGGAGTCGACTGTTTGCACTTCTGTGGTAAGCTTAGAAACACATTCATCAACATCCACTCCTACCATTGTGAAATCCAGCTCAAGTGGAATGCATCAAAGGAAACAGTCGAGAGCTTTAGATACCAGTAACAACAGGAGATCAGTAATTACTGGAAGTTATCGTGAACATCTTAAGAGCATACGTTGCAATTCCCTCACATGTCTGACAGCTACTACTACTACTGTAAGTGCATCATTAAAAACACCAGCCTCAAGCATGGGTGATCAGACACTTGGCCTTCAATCTAGGGGTACCAGTATTGAAAAGCCTCTAACTGCTGAAGACAGAATTCAGAGTTCCTCAAACCAGCTCCCTGCTTCAGAAGAAAATAATTCACAGGCAAGTAACATCAAAGCAACTTCAAGCACAATAGCTGGGTATCATGGTGGACGCAAGGTGTTGTGGTCAAGCGCTAATGCCTTTCCAAAAAGTGATATTTCTTCTGCCCATTTTCTCTTTAACAAATTACCAGCAGACTTTGTTCAGGGTAGTTCATCAAGCAACAATATCATCTTGTCTTCAAAAGTACACCAAAAAGGTGCTAAAAGTATTGCAAGAGCAAGTGTGACAAGTGATGCAGTAACATGGACTGATGTTACCAAGTCAGTATTCACATGTACAGCAACCTCTGGCAACCTTCACACATCAAACAAACAACCAGAGTTAGATCAGTCATTAAAGGGAATGAAGACTTCGTCTGAAAGTAATGTGATCAACAAAATGCCGACAGTGTCTACATTTAATTCCCAAGTAGTAGCCTCGTTGCCTGCTCAGCGAACAAGCAGTTCTCATGTTGCAACAACTGCAAAGTCTTCATTACCAGTAAGCACAAGTACAGCAGTGGTACAGAACCTCACCTTAGGAAGACCGGCAGCTATACCAACACCAATTGTTATTGCGGGTTCTAACACACAAACCACATGGTCCAATCAGCAGGTTTCCCCCACATATTTTGTTGGAGGCCAGCGTCAATATGGAATTTACTCAGCACTATGCAATGCAGATGTCAATAACAACCAGCTTGGACAGCAAGCAGTTACTGCAGCTTATCCACTAAATTATGTATATCCTCTAAGCCTTGTTTACCCTTTTCTCACAATGGCTGCTCAAGTAAGTGACCCCAAAAGTTCAGAAAGCAGCGAAAATGAAAATAAACGTCTACCAGTGAATCAAAATGATGTGTCTGTAAACAAGACAACAGAAACCAAAACAGATTCTGACGTTTCGGCAGAGAAAACAACTGTAACCACAGCAGATTTAAAACCCACCACTAACACTGTGGCTCCCTCTCAGATGCAATTCATTGACCTTGCCAGTTCCATGAGGTACTGGCAACAGCTCAGTTTGTTGTACCGAAGTAGACTGCAAGCATTAGCATCTTGTAACCTGTCAAATGTCAAGGCACTGAACTTAAATCCAAATCAAATCAACCCAGCCAGGCCGGCAACAACAGTGGACTCCAAGGAAGATACAAAAATCTTTGTTGGTGGTGCTTGTGAGAATGCAGTGAAGTCAAATCCGGAGGAAATGCCATTATCCAAGCCAGAAATTTCTCATGCAAACCCTCCGAATGATTCAAATTCAGAAAAGATGCACACCGGTGATTTTTTCGAGGAGAATTCCTCTTCTGAAAGCTCAAAGCAAAAAGGACTTGAAAGCAAGCTTGAAGATAAAAATGAGTTAAACAATGCAAACACTCAAGAGCCTACATCTTTTGTAGTTCCATCGTCGTGTGAAGTTTTTACTGCAAATGTTACTGAAACAGTGAAAAACTCAGTGAAAGTAGATAACTGCAAACAGATGGAGTTTGATAGTAATGGGACTGGTAGCAATTCTGTTTCATTTAGACCCAGAAAAGATGGGGTTAGTTTGGCCAATCCATCTCATGATCAGCTTGGACAGACTAATGATGAAAGCCCAGATGGATTAGTACAGGAAAGCTTGAAACAAAATTTCTATGGATCACCTCCAAAGTTGAGCTTTATCCATGACAGTTCTATTGCACGTGTGAATGTTGGCAGCAGTATTGGAAATGGTCTTGGGAGCACTGGAAGTAACTCTGGAGTGAGAAAAACAGGTTAGAATTATTTTTTTGTATTCCGCAGAGATGCAATTAATAATTATTTTTATGAAAGGACTCTTGACTAGCTTAGTCACTTTTTTGGTGGGACAAAACAAAAATCTGTTTGGACTCATTCAAGAATGCATTACGTCTTTCATGAAAATTGTGCATGATAGTAATGGGGTTTGGAGGTAGACTAATTAATTATTGCCATATATTCCCTGCAGCAATGTTATTTCAAGGACACGACACATCTCAATATGCTCAGGTTTTATTCATCTTCAAAATAAAGGTCGGAACACACTAGGCGACAATTTGTAGCAACAGATCACTCCTCAAGTATCGCTTTATACTGGAGAATTTTTGTGAAAATCTTTGTCTCAGGAACAGAATTCTGTCTGATTTTATATTTTGCAACATGTTGCGGTGACAAAAATTTGTTGCAGAGAAAACGATTTTCACAAAAGTTCTCCAGTACACACAAAGCGATTTGTTTCTATGATGAGTTGCTGTGACATGTTGCTACAACTTGTTGTCTAGTGTGTACTGACCTTAATAGTCTTTGGTATAAATTTTGTCTCCACATCATGTCTGATTACAGCTAACACTTCATTGGACAAGGGCCAATATATTTTTTTCTATTTTGTTAGACATAATGTCTGATGACTGTTTGTTACTTGCAAATACAGGTTATAATAATAGTGCACAGCAGAAAAAATGGTGTCTTAAAATCTGTTTTATTATTTTCCACATTTTTCCAATGGACCATCACCTGGAATTTAGTTGTAAAACCCATTTGATTATGCTTTGATTATACTTTGGATATGTAATGAAAACTTTTGCATAATTATTTATAATGTTATGTTCTAGTCAAAATCATTTTGTGTAAGAAATTTTATCAAAATATTCTAAGCACTGTTTCATCACAATGTCAAACACATCGCATAAAACTGACTTTTGTTGCCTCCTGCGTTTAGATTTAAAGTACATGTATTGCCTGAACTCGGTGGTGTATATGTGCATAAAAACTTGCTATTTTCTTTTGATATAGACCTAAACTTTTGCCTGTAGTTGTGTATTATCTTTTCCAAACCGTGTGATAACTTGATAACATTTTATCAACAGCTCAAGATATATTTTTTTTAAAATATTGTGGGAGTAGTACTCAAACTTTTATGACTATGTGCTACTAGACTGGTTATGGATACCTCATTCAGGAAGAAGATTTTTAATTTCCATTTAATTTAGGCAATAGGTCAAAACTAAAAGTAAAACATTACACCTCTACTCACTGGTAGCTGAGGTGTTACTCAATCAACTGCAAGAATAATATCTTGTCAAAATTACCACTCTCCATCACAATTTTCTTGCTATTTTTGAGTCATTTTCAGAGTGGCAAGGGGCCATAGCTGGGTGAGCATGTTGCCTTTTGATTTGCATGTATCCCACCAATAAACATTCAAGTGATTGCTGCAACTGAATAACTTAAAATTGCTCTGAAGTTTGCAAAATGTGCAGTGTGATACAGTGAATTGCCTTTAACACCTAGAACTTGGTGGAACAAACCCGTCAACCTGCATGTATGGTTAGAGAAAAAACACAGTCAGGGCTCGAACTTGGCGGTGGTCTACTAGCCAAATACCAGTAGATTTTGATTTTTGGCTAGTGGATTTAGCTCATTTACTAGCCATCTTGGCTAGTTAATTTTCGCACCTGTAAACAACATAAGCCTTGAAATGTTTTCAACATTTTCCCAGTTGATCCGCACCTTCTAGTAACCTCTTATTTCATTCCCCCATTAACAACTGGCATGAATAAAAGAAAGAATAATATTTGTTAATTCGGTTTTCAGTTTTGCGTTTATTCGCTGCCATCTTGAAATTTTGTTTGACCAGGGAGCATGGGCCAGGCCGTACCCATGATGCAAAGCTAGCCAAAAAACAAATGTACACCATCTTGAAATGCAAATCTACAATCACAGTCCACGCATGATTGTCATGGATATTAGGGCATTTCTGTTGTCAAATAAAACAACTAAAGGTCTAAAGAGAGCAAGCGATGATTCTGCTGGAGGCAGCACGTCTACATGTAAATCTTCATCAAAACGAAAATTTGTACGGACCTGGCTGAAAGACTTTCCATGGCTCACAAACGATGTTGAAGCAAACCAAATGTTCTGCAAATTGTGTAGAGACAATACAACTTGTGCAGGTGCTGGCTGCTGGACTTTAAACTGCAGACCAGCGCAAGTGCTGTTGGGTTCTTGTTTGTAGAGTTCAGTAAAATTTATTATTGTATTGTAACTAAACATACAAGACAAGATGCATTTAAATTTTTCTTATGTTGCAGTTTTTATTAACGTTTGATAACCACAGGATTTTTGACAATTTTTTTAATCTTATGCTGTACAGAAGTGCCTAGACTACTAGAAACACGTTTATGGCTAGTAAAGCCCGAGCATGTACTAGCCATTTGACTATTAAGTTCAAAAGTTAAGTTCGAGCCCTGACAGTACTGTTGTGCTCATATTCTAAATATCTGTAAGGCTTATAAAGCACTCTTAGAATTTGAATTAGTTTAGTTAGAATAATGTACAAGGATATAAGAGATTTAGGTCAAAAAAATTTTAGGTTAAAAATAACTATTATTTTGTTAAACACTTGCCAATAAGCATCAATATTGCTAGACTCTTGATGGTTGCAGGTTGTTGTTACTCAATAACATGTGTGATCATTGTTATTTAAATGTATAGTAAAATTAATTTTCTTCTTTTAATTGAATATTACTATTTTCCACTAGGTTTGGGAACTCATCTGGACATGCCTGTTCGTCCTGCAAAAAGGAGAAGGTCTAAGAAGTCCTTATAATACTAGCCAATATTGCATACTTGTATTTGAGTTGGTGTGTGGATTAATGTTTTGCTTCAATAGTCACAGGTCTGCCATAATAATAAATTTGAAGGGGTGCATGAAAAAAGGCCCTAAGCGACTTTTGACCCTGGTTCCCCCTGCCCCTCCCCCTGCGCGGGCCCTGACATAGGGGCTGTCTACATGACAATTGAAATCTGACAGCTATATCCGTGGTGAAATATTGGTCACTCATTGTGCAATATTTCTTTGATAGATAAACACTGCGGTGAAAACAAAATTCACCTCTTTGCTTGTCGACCACACCCTCCCCCTCCCCCTGCTCCTGCCCCTCAGGTGTCTAGGACTGACAGTTCCAGTTTTTTGCCCATTAATGTGGTTATGGTTGAATTAACTGATCTGCTGTGAATCTTTTACTTGTAAGCCTTGGTGAAGTTGTTCACAATAACAAAAGACGTCTTTGTTTCATTCAGGTTTGGATCAAAATTTTAATGTAAAAATAAATGAATGTCACTATTGACTTTTTTGATAAATAATGTGAAATTGGAGAGAAATAGACAGGTTATGTCTCATCTCATCTCTTCCATAAGTGAATGTTGTGTCTTCATGAAATTTGTGCACATACTAAGCAAGGATCATTAATTTGTATTTCCTTGAGAAATTTAATTACAATTTTTTTTTTTTTTACAAAAAATAATTATCAAAAGTAGGTTGAGTTTGATCGTCTGGGTGAACGTAGTCCTGAATAGGATTGTTGTTGTTGACAGTGACAGTCACTGTCAACAACAACAATCCCATTCAGGACTACGTTACCCGGATGATCAAACTCAACCTACTTTTGAAATGACTCCTAGGTTCAAACCTTTCACAAAAAATAATTATGTTAATGATTTCTTTTTGTTATGTGTTGCATTTTATTGAATTGGGTTTAAGGCTCTAGAATCTAGAATCAAGAACTTAACTAGCTAGAGTTCGTTTGTATGTTGATATTATACTAAATGATTTATAGGAAAGAATTTTCAATTTTCTGTGTGTACATTATGACCATTGCACTGTTAACGTTAGCCTGACAACCATGTTTCAGGGTATCCTTTTAGAATGATGGCAAACCTACAAGTTTTATCATAGTTTTAGAACAGCAATTTGGTTGCCATACAAACATTAATACAGTAGTGCATATGAAAGAATGTTTAGGAAGAATTCAAAAGTTCCAGTTGTGTGATATATGTAGGCACTATGATCTAAAGAATGATTATGTAAATTATCATTGATTTATGATATTTGCTGCAGATACTATTTTTTTAAAATTGATTTCTCATATTGAAGTTTTGTTTTATTCTTTTACATTAATTTTAATGTACTTAAGGTAGATATAAAGGTCAGCATTATTGAGATGTAATACTAAACTATATTAGATATATTTTGGGAAATAATCACCAAAGTAATTTGCTTGTAAAGGGTTGATAGTTTTCATGAGGCGCAGTATCAGGAATTAAGTTTGCTTTAATTTCTTTCAATCTTTTACTCAGAGTTACTTTACATACAATCAAATAAGTATTATTTGATTGTGTGACAGGAAAAATATGCACTAAAAGGTTGCATATTAATATTCTGCAAAGCCTACAAAATTAGAAGCAAGTAGAGCATGAGAAATGTATAATGAATAAAATATGTTGCATTCTAGATAAAAATATTATGAGATTTTATGTAGTTAATATTGGTGTTACAACATTATCAATTATTTTTTAAGAAAATGACTTAAAAGTTGAGTTACATTAAGAAATGGATCAAAGTGATTTTTAATAGAATTTAGTTTTGTTGTATTGATAATTATTTTTATACAAACAAAGTTCTATCCACAATAAAAAAAAATGTTTTATTGATCATCAAGACTTTCTCCATTTCTCTTATGCTTTTGAATGGCAATGTGCTATGGGTCATTTGAATGGTAATTATGGATACCGTAAATCCTCTATTAATAGACTATAAGCCCCCCCTCTCAAATAAGCCCCCCCCTCTAATAAACCCCCCCTTTTCAGAGGAGGAAAGTTAATAAGCCCCCCCTCCCTCTCCCCCCATCCTTATTCTTCACAAAAAATTAACGATTAACGTGTTCTGATCAGTTATGGTTTATTCAGGCTGGAAGTTCATATTGGTTTTGGTCTTCGGCCGCATGACCTCCAACTTCATATGAAGTGGAAAGTACATTTTTGAAGAATAAGAATTTTGTTTTTGTTGGTTTTAGGCTCCAACAAGTGAATTAAATACTTTTGACAGTGACTTTAATAATGTACAAAACGTAAGTCTACTCTCTCTGTTACTACGGTATTTTTGCTACAGGTGATGCGTTTCGCTAAATTAAATAAGCCCCCCCCTCTCATTTAAGCCCTCCCTCTCTATTAAGCCCCCTCAAAAGTACTTGAAAAAAATAAGCCCCCCGGGGGGCTTAATAGAGGATTTACGGTAGTGATATTAAAATGACAAGGTTGACGATGATGGTGATGATGATGATGATATTGGCGATGATGATGCTGATGATTATGGTGATGTTGATGATGGCAATAATGGTGATGACAATGTTGAGTAAGCTTTTGATAACCCACTGCTTTCCTCAGGATCACACGAACGACCAGACCATCAGCCTTCTATGCTTAACCCAGAGGGGTCCCCCGTGACTCGCGCGTCCCAAAAATAAACAAAAGAAAGTTTTTACAAAAGAAAAAGGTTGAACTCCCACAAGACCAACATGGCGGCCGTTTTATTGTTGAGGGACAACAAAATGGCGGATGTGACGTCATGTGTGAGAGAGGGACGCTCAGTTCGAATATACTCCCGAACCATCTAAGATCGGTTAGAGGGCATCGGTGGTCACGATGTCACTAGCGTCCTCCAAAAGAGATGGTATGGCAGGGGCGGATCCAGGATTTTTTTTAGGAGGAGGTGCACTCGTCTCTTGCTCTACTTCAACAGCAATAAACCACATAGTTTTTTTTTTTGCAGAATACCAGTTGTATTAGAAAACCGCAGGTCATCTCAGGCGGGGGGGGGCGCCCCCCCTGCACCCCCCCCCTAGATCCGTCCCTGTATGGGGATGCGTGTGTCCGTAAATGTTTTAAAAGTTTTCTTGATCTAAAGGAAAAGAAAATACAGCTCTGCCAGTCTAAAAAAATCTTGACTGAAACGTCACATTTCGTTCTTAAATTTTCCTTCGCAGCGAGGGGTTGTAAAAGGGGGTCCTAGGCCTTTCCTACATTTTTATTCTCCACTGCACAACGTGAAGCACTTGTCGCAAACCAGCCACTGCTTTTTGTAGGCTTCAAACTGTTCGCGCAGTTTGATGCTAGCCACGTCTTCAAGAGTTTTTCTGCCACGTACAAAGTACAGGTTGTCAGTGTCCATCTGCATTAGCTCAAAGTCACGTCTGTCCTCAAAAGAAGTCCTAAAAAGTGGGAAAAGGTCCCTGTGCTCCCTGTCGACTGAGCTGTCAGATTTCCGCCAATCAGTGCGAAGCTGAAACGAGCGCTAATGTGAAAAAACATTGCAAAACACGTGCCAAGGTTCATAACGTCATTACTAATGTCATCTCCGCCAATCAGCATTTCGCATCGACTTTTTCGAAGCAGCTCTCTTTCCTTTTCCCGCCAAGCAGCCAGAGCTTCCGGGAGAGCTTGCTCGCAGGAAAGGAGTAAGTCTACCTTGTCCGGAGAAAGGTGCGGCTACCCGTAGGCTATGTTCTCTTTAATAAACAAAAGGAAGGATTAGTGCGCGTCTTTCTGTGCGGGAGATCCCGAGGTCGATTCCTAAGTATGACGTCATCTCCTTTTTTCGACATCTTTCCTTTCAGTGTAGCTTTAAATTTCTGCAGGAGCCGATTACTTCTGACGAGTGGCCATATTAACGGGGTGAAATTGTAAAAGATTCTGCTGTTTGGGATTTTAAAGACCGTCTTTAAAATGTGGCAGTTGGCCGCATTAACGGGTGACCGTACTAACGGTTTTTTTTTAAATAAGAAAATGTACGGCCGTTTTGCAGAGCCAAAAAAAATGGCCATACTAACGAACGTTGCAAATTTGAATCAATCTAGTTTTTTTTTTTTAGTTCAGCGTAAGACAGAGTGAAGTCTGCGTACGAGATTAGGTCAGCAGATTAGCGCTTCTAACTTTTATTTACCAATTTTGTTATATTTGTTTATAGGCTTTTGGCAGCCAGTTTTTGCGTGCCTCTGCCCCCGAGTTGTCGGCACCGAAGCTGTTTTTAGTAGCGGGTTTTTTTTTGGGGGGGGGGGGGGTTTTTTTCCACAAAGTGGTTTTAGGGTTTGGGGTTTTCGTATTCGGCGGGGTCGTGACCGTTGATTTCTTTAGAGGTTTGTTTTTCGTCGTAGAGTGTGTTGTAATTAAGTGCGGTCTTGCAATCTTGCGGAATTTTGCACTAAACTAGCTTTGAGGTCCTTGCTCACCTACAGGCCCCTGTATACGTAGCCTGCGTAGCAAGCGTTTCCGTTTAGTTTCGGAGCAAAGAAATACCGAGGAAGGGGACTTTCGGTTTTGACCGCGCGAGAAATGAAACGAGAGCCAAAAAGTAAAAAAGGGGGGAGGGGGAGGGAAGGGAAGGAAACCTTTCCTTCCTTTCTTCCCCACCCCCTCCCCGCTCTTTTACTTGCGCCACTTTTCTCGCGGTCTTTGACTCTCGTTCCTCGTTCTTTTCGCTTAAACCGTACAGAAACGCTTGCTACGCAGGCTACTGTATACGTATCATCTACTTTTGGGCGGGCCGCGTGGCTTTTCGGGTAGTGAACGTTCGAGGAGCGTGGCTTGCCCGCGCGCGTGCAAAATAAGAGCTCCCATCATCACTTGCGCCCTTCAACATCGGCAACTGAGATCAGGTTGATGTGTGAAGTATATGTTGTTCCTTATATCCTCTTTGGATTGGTATTCATGTGTTTAGAGTCAACTACTTTATTCATCAATGGGGTAAACGTGTTTTGAAGTAGGTTTTTTAATACTCCTTTCAAGGAGCGACGTTTCCAAATTGCATAAGTTAGAAAGCGAACTAAAAATTCAGAAGATTCTCAAAGGAAGTGCACCCAAGATGTTTGCTCTTCGTGGTTCGTCCGCTACAAGTGGCTTACCCGGGGCCTGGAGATGTACTGGACGAAGTAACGAGGAAATGGTAGACAAATTTGTTCATATGGGCGTTATAATAACTTCAGAAGTGGAAGATGCTTTCAGGGCTGTCCCAAGGGGAGCATTTGTGCCCCACGATTTACAAGTCGAGGCCTACATAGATTCACCGCTTCGCGGGGAACCACACGTTCATTTGTCAGCTCCTCACATGTACGCTACTGTTCTTGAAGCCTTACAGCTTTCTCCAGGTATGAAGAATTATTCGCTGTATCTTTTCTTAGAATTGTGTGTTTTTATTGAAGTAAAATTACATTATGTCTCGGTCTGTCTGATTAGCTGTCAGCTGTACATGGCCAATTTCCGTTTTTGTGACTTACAGTCCAACTTTCAATTTTGAATTGCTGATTGTTAAGCTTAAAACTTTTATAACGGGACAGATAAGGGGTACTGGATTTCATTTGTTTATTCTACGACTTGTAGCTTAAGTCAATGTCTATATCGTACATGTATTAGTGTAACAACTTACTGTTTTGATACCGTCCATATCAAAGAACGGAAGTAGACTTACCAAATAAAGCCGTATTTCTTTATATTGGTAGGTGGAATTTGAACGTCCAGGTAGACACTTCCGAACAGGACTGTTGTTTACCGTAACTGATGTTTCGACAACCTGTACAAAGTCATCTTCAGAGTCAAAATGACTACTGCACAGGTTGTTGAACTGTTAGTCACGATCAACAACAGGCCTATCCAGGACTAAATTCAACCAAACGACAATTTCCTACCCACTTATAACACGACTTCTGGGTTCTAACCATTTACCAAGACAATTTCTGATAACAATTTAACAATACAGTATAATGAAAATGTTATGTATTTAATAGTGACCTAGGTTAGTTCACCATTAGTTCAGAGATCAATATTCTGGGATATTATGAGTCTGAATCCATGCTTGTTGCGTCATAAAAAATTATGTAATATCTTAAATCTCAATATTAGACTTTCACCATTATTACATTCTGTAAGTAGTGTGCATTCATCACAAGTGGGTCAGTCATGAGTAAACTGGTAGCTGCATGAATTTTTAAGCCTGGTTTCCATATGATCACCCCGATCGTCCCATTTTCTCAAATAATGTTCAGACAATTGGAACAATCGTAAACGACCTGGATGACTGAGACAACCTCGATTGCTTGGATAGAGTTAGGTTCTATCCGGACGATCATGTAAATTTTGAAGCAATCGTGTGGAAATGCTCTCAGATGACTGAGATGATCAGGATGATCAAAGGCTATCCCAGAAATCATCACTTTTATTCCAGTAATGGAGAATGCCGCTGAAGTCAAAAAAATAAAGCAAAACTGTTCGCACTGCATATGGGTGCTATTTGAAATTAGAGAAACTCACTGACATCAAGTTCTTGATGCTATGTCTTTGTGGAACTCTTCTAGCTTCTCAAAGCCGCAAAATCGAGAGAAAATGTAAATAGCAAGGTGCTAGGGTGGCTGTGCGATTAAAATCCATCACTATGTTTGGCTTGTTTCGAAAACATGCGTAAAAATTCTGTTGTCTGACCTAGAGACATCGCCGACGACCCCACATCTCTTGTCTTTGAGGCGATCGAAAGGATTACATTGAAACTACCAATCATTCCAGTCGTCTCGATCATCTCAAAAGTTTTTTAAACAACTGGGGCGATCAGGACGATCCGGAGGATCATATGGAAACCAGTGTCCTATTGGGAAACAAGGAGTACTTACCATTTGTATGGCTCAGTAATTCTGGGAAGAATGCAAAATTAATGGAACGTGACATGCAGGTGGAATGATTTTCAAGAAAAAGGCAATGCCATGTGAGGTATCGCCTTGTCATGCGAGGTATCACCCTAACCCTTGTAAACCTGCTTGTAAGGGCAGTTCCATTATTCTGTGCAAAAAAATCCACTGAAAATTCCATTCACCCACTCTGAATGAAACAAGTTTGGTGTAAGCATTGCTGTGCTCTAAGAAAATAGTAATTATACACTGCAAGCTGTACATTGGATAGGGATCCCAAAACCTCTAAGTCCATAAAACCAGATTGCCCAGCATTTATGTTTGATGCAAAACGTAAGATATCCTTGTCACTTTAAGGCTAAAGTACGTTGCCAAGGGACACTGCTAGAACACAGACACCCTGCATTTGTTTTTCAACCTTTATTTACCTTTATTAGGTTTGTCATTCCTCAACATTGGCAGTGGCACAGGCTATTTTTCCTGTTTAGCTGGTTACATTCTTCAAAACCATGGTATAAATCATGGCGTAGAACTTCATGAAGATCTGGTGCGGTTTGCTAAGGAACGAGTTGAGGAATACTTACAGTTCTGTCCTGCTATTGCCCATGATATCTGTATGCCCAAGTTTGTGGCTGGAAACTGCTTCAGAGTGGATCCTTCAGGTTGTAACTATGACAGGGTATATTGTGGAGCAGCTTGTCCTCCCAATAAAGTTCCATTCATTCTTGCATTGACCAAGATTGGCGGCTTTGCTATTATTCCTTGTAGAAACAAGGTATGGTTGGTACAGTTTTGATTTGTTTTTGAGAACGTTACTCTAGTTTAATTTTACAATAATTATAATATGGATTTTGACAGTCTGTTGATGATTGAAACCCTGAAGGCTGGTTTTACTTGGTACGGAGTTGGAGTCGTAAGAGTGCTTATTACAAAGTGAAAATTACCTTACTTGTGCTGAGCACCAAGTAAAGGATTCACCACACTCCGAAATGTCCGAAAGTTTCTTTTTTTGGGACAAGATTGGGTGCGCAAAGTCCACCATTTTTCAGTTTGAGTTGGCTATTTGACAAAGTGAGAGCGGAATTACTTTGTGATATCTCACGATCACTTCGAGGTCTCTGATTTGTTCTTTATTTTATTCACAAAAGAAATAGTAATAATATTATTTTTTGACTTGCCTGGGGTTTGAAGCAACTCACCTGCAACCTGTCAGATCAGATAACACTCTAAGTTGAAAGTTTAGCAGATTGCGCCACTAATAATGACCCAAGGTAGTTTGTAAGTTCTTTCGGCTACAATAAATATTTAATACTTTAATCTATTCAAGGAATAAAATATTATCTTTTTTGGCTTACCCGGAGTTTGAACCAACTCACCCGCAGTGCATTAGATCAGACAGTTACAAGCGTTGGTTCACTTGCTTCTGAGCAAAAAAAACAAAGATCAATCTTTTGTGGTCTTCTGAAAGTATCAACGAAAAGCTTTGAAGTTTGTTGTTGTTGTTTGCATCATGTACATGCAACATGCACAAAGACAACGTCTTTGTTCAGCATTTTGTAGTTTTAAATTCATCATAAAACAGTTTGAAAAAAGCACCAACACAACGTTAAAATAAATAATAACATCAATAAAAAAGAAACACGTAAAATGTTCTGGCTTTTTCTTTTGAAAAAGCTGTAATGCCAACAGTAGATGTTCTCAAGAACCGATGACTGCTCCGGGCATGATCCAAACACCGTGAAATCCGTGGGAAAAGGAGACATGGAGCCATAGTGGTTGTCTTTGTTGAGTTTACCTATTTTTACCCCCAACATCAGACACTGTAACAACATTATACGAAATTATGGCGAAGCATTTTCAACATTTTAAAACAACTGAGGGATACTTTTTAGTGTGGAAGAAGGTTGTTTTTTTACCTAGAAATGGAGCGATTTCTTCCGATAATTGGAGATAAGTCTCTCAAAAGTGATTGGAATTGACAGGTTTGGCTATAAATGAGAGTTAGAGCAATTTTGTCCACTCTTGCTCAGATGTCGAGAGCCAAAAAAGATGTTAACACTTGACAAATGCTTTTGGTAGTATGGGTATGCTTTCAATTATTGACTGAGCCATTATGATGATGATGCAACCATCTCTCACAACAATGAAAACCATAACAGCCTGCAAGCAAGCTCTCCATTTAAGAGATATTGAAAGAAGTAAAGAGTGAGTGGCATGCGAAAGGAGACGCGGAAGCAAGGTGTGAGAAAAGAAAATGAGAGCTTATTGTCACTCAAAATAGAGATGATGCTACCAGTCCATAACATTTCTTGGTAGTTGTGCGCATTTGCAAGTCTGTGAGCCACTGCAGTTTACGTTTAGGAATTCTAAGGAAAAATTTGAGCTTTTTATACATTAAGCAGCATCCACTATGACTCCACATCTCCTTTTTTACCTATTTCAACCAACCCTTAACAAATCACAACATTGCGGCAGTCACACGTGTCTGATACAAAAAATCCTCACATACAGTACGTATGATACCACAACGCTCAAGTGTACGCTCCAATAGCATTTTGTTTTGCTTACTTTCTGAACAAATAATGAATGATTTGTTTACAAAATTTGATTTAATTATGTGACCTCCTTGAATTATTGTGTGATCAAATGTGATTTCAGGCCAGTTGTGCAAAATAAGAATGTCAGAAGCTCTGTCCATTGTTATATACCAGTACATTTTTTATTTTTGCAGCTGCTCAAGATTGAACGAGTCTCGGACACTGGGGTGAAACAGACTTGTATCAGTGATGTGAATTTCGCACCACTTGTAGCAATGCCAGATTCTGACTCAAGTCTTCCCAAACTCTTTTTTCCTAAGGAAAATCCAAAAAGAAGAGAAAAGGTTTGTTGAAATGCTAGCATTTGTTAGTGAAGTAAATTGCAATTGCTTTTGTGTGTTTACAAATGGTTTGCTTTCAAAAATGCTGCAGAGTTGGCAAGATAATTTAATTTATATATTATGGAGAATGCTGGACAAAGCATGCTTTATTTTGGTCTTCATTTTGTAAAGCCCAAATTGGTACTGGACGTACTTGAAGTACTCAACAGTGACTTTTGTATTTTATTTATTTTGTTAGAACATTCGTATTTACCCTCCATCCAATGTACTGGTAAGCCGCGGAAAGGCCAGAACTCTACTGGCTAAACTGAGAGCTCTCCAAGAAGCAACTGGTATGTAATCACATCTGAGCCCTTAGATATCTAAGTTTCTGCAGGTGGGAGGGAGTGATCTACATATAGTTTTCTTAAGATCAGTAATTAAACAAAGAAATACCCGTGTTAAAGAAATTTCTCAATTATTGAGTTGCCTTGCTTGATTTTTTTTCCCATGCCAAAATTCAATATTAACCTCTGTAGTCAGATACTTGCAGTATGAAAGAGGTGTAAGGATGTTACAGAGGTACTGTGTCTACATTGTAGTTCAAACTGAAATTCAGGTTAATGACTTTAATGGTTTTGCACTTAGCTTGCTTTGAGATTTCCTTCATCTGCCAGACCCAAATAAAAAAAAAACCTGCAATAACCAAAGCTTAGGAAGTGCAGGGGAGATCAATGCAAAGGCTTTGGCTCCAACAGTGGCTGTCCAAGCGTATTGTCAGATTGCATTCTATGCATTCGCTGCATTCCTTTGTAATAGCAACCTGGACATTAGGATTGTGGGCTTCTCTGGTTGCCCACCATACACTGTAACAAGGAGTATAGTCATTATTATCGTTTACTGCTATGAATACCCATTACAACTTCACGCCGATTTAAGTGTGTACCCCAATTTTTGGGGTTATCAAGTATTCATATATTCAGGCTATTGTTCTTGCCATTGTCGATTACCTTCCGAAGAATCCACAAGCGGAATTCCTTTGATTTAGGTGCGATATGTCTCTTTTGTTTTGAATTTTGTTGCTTCATTGACTTTTTAATCCCCATTGTTACATGATGAGTATTAAATTTATCCATTAAAATACTCGGACTTGCCTGTTAAATTTGCTGCAGTCTGTGGGAACGCTTACAAGTCTTTTAACCGTGGCGGACAACTCTGGTTGCATAACATATTTTCGGTCACGCACCGTGTTACAAAGGAAACAAGCCTGATAAATTTGAAGTTGATTAAAGCTTTTAAATGCCTGGTCTCCAATAGTATTTTTTATTAAACACTCTCCTGCCTTGAAAATAATTTGGCATTTAAAGAATTGCTGCGGAATTTATTTATTAGAACGTTTTATTCATTCAGTAGCTCTGCAATCAAGAGCGAGCAACTCTTTTCAAAATGTAAACAACGCAAGCGGTGAATGCATTTAACGGGATGACACAGTTTTATTAGAGTGTAATTTCACTTTTTTGAACGTTTTCGCTTGCCTTTCAGTTTTCTTTTGTTGAACAAAACCTTGCGTTTCAGTTACGTGACTGCAGGGCCCGAAATAACCGCGTATTGTCAGTTCACCGATTTGCATGACAACTTGATTCATGGAGTGGTCGAGTGAGACGGGAAACATCTAAAATCAAAACAAGAGCTGTAATCGACAGATCAAAACTTATGGAGTTCATAATTCCTCGAAATAATTTTGTAGAAATGCTTGTATAGTTTCATTGCTCTGGAGAAATGAATAACTGTTATGATTGAATGAATGGATAACTCTCGGCCGGATTTTATTAAGCGATAGGCGAGAAAAAAATGCTTCAGTGGCTTGCTCTGTACTTGAAACCTCGGCAAGAAAAAAAAAATCCAATCGCGTCCACAGTGGTCGAAATTTCTCGCTTCAAGATCTCTTTTGAAGCTCTCAAAATTTTCCTTTTCGAGAAATACGTGTCCAAGTCGAAGAAGTTTTGCCAAAGACTTAAATCCATAGACTTCTACCGCAATATGTGCGATAATTCTCTGCAGTTTTATTCACACACTTAGAACAAAAGGATACTTATAAAACTTCGCGGCCCTGGGCAGCTTAATTAAGCCATTGTTCAATTCCTTTGAATGCGCTTCTGAGTTTTCCGCCATAAAATCTCACCTTCTTTGAACCGAGTCAAAACGAACACTCTCGAAGGGAAAGTTCGGAGGAATAAGTTGAGCCTTCAGGGTACAAAATCCAGCAGTTATGCCCATTTCTGAAATACACACTTAAATCGGCGTGAAGTTGTAATGCATGATGTCAACAATTTCCTTTGTGACTCCTTCCCTAATGCTAATCATTCGAGCAATTAGTGGTTAGGAAATCAAAGGAAAAGAGGGTGATAAAAGAGAATTAAGCTGGGTTGAATTCATTTTAACCTCAGAAGTTCATTTTGGACTTCTACTGCATTTAAGGTATAGATAGGTTATTAGCCATTGTGCTTAGACTGTTATTAGAGGATATTAGGGGATTTCTGTAACTGTGGTTTGCAGTAGGACGGGTTCAACTACATGTATACTTCTAGTCATTTATGTAACAAATTATAAGTCCTGAGACTCATCTTGTGAAATATCATGGGTCCATTGAGTCTTGAATTAAATGTGCTTTTTAGCCATTCTAACCAGACAGTTAATACAGTTTAATAGTTTAATTATGGTCTGTTTTAAGGCACAACAGAGAGTAAATATATGCATTGTTAACAGGGTAAACCACAAGACCACATCAGCCCTTTGGCTGCCATGATTTTTAATGGAACCTGCAGTTGTGTTCATGATGATGGTTAACATTTTGTCTTCACATTAATTAGCAACCCTAACTTTAATAACATCATAGCAATTTTCTTTTTTTTATAGAGTGCTTACTAATGTCTCAGTCTCTACCGGTGGCATTTTGTTATGTACCATCACAACAACAAGTCCAGCAATACTTCAGTAAGAAAACAAAGGCCAGGAAACATTCCAGTGTGGTGGTAACTTCTCCCGTGGATCAGAAGATCTCTTTCTTTGGTTCGAGTAGTGTTGCTTCTGAAACAGATACAACAGGTCCTCAAAGCATCTGGAACCATTTGCAGAAGGACAAGTTATGGCAGACTGTGTTAGAGTATTACTACAGTCTTTGCAATGTGTCCTATCAAAAAAGGTGCCAGACATTGGATGTTTACTTAAGGAGAAAAGTGAGGCATAAAAGTGAGAGAAGAGAAAGTAAAAAAGTTTTGTCCTATGCTGAGATTGCACATAAGCTTGGTATACTCAGTACAACAACACAGAGTGTTGTTTCGGTGCAAGAATGTAGGGAGTCACTGGGAGACAAGAGTGAGTTACCAGTAGAGGAAGTGTTAAGTGCATTGACTGGATCTGCTAGTAGGTGCGGTAGTACA